GGACACTCGCAACGGAGGAGTTACGAGTGCGTTGCCGACCTTTTAGGGATTAGGGATTTGGAGATTTAGGGATTTAGGAGGGATTGGGGGAGGGGAAGGATTGGGCCTCCGGTTTAAATTTTAAGTTTAAATTTTTCGCAAAATGATTAGACTCTGCCGCTCATAATCCTTTCGAAAATTTTAGAAGCAGTTAGTAACAAGGCTATGGGTCGATAGTTATTAGGGTCAAGTTTCGAGTTTTTTTTATGAATATGGTTAATCAATGCTTTTTTCAGTAGGTGTGGCAAGGTATCTTCTTCGAATGACTGGTTGACAATGGTAAGTAAGGTGAGTTCGTCTGCGCATTGTGTTAGAAGAAAAGGGGGAAACTCATTTTACTTTTAGGGTTTTTATTGTTTTGTTTATTTCGTATGGATAAACGGGGCTTAGAAACATTGTTTTATCTGCTGGGCAAACAACGGGGTCACCTTTTGCTTCTTTTCCTGTAGTTCGGGTATTTTCACCGATGGATGCAAAAAAATTATTAAAGAGGGTAGCTATTTGTTTGGGGTCTGTAATGCCGGTTTCGTTTACTAATAATTTCAGATTAGATTTGTATTTTTAATTTTTTTAATTGGCTCTTTCGTTTATGACACTCCACATTGTTTTAATTTTGTTTGTTGATTTATTTATTTTGTTTGTATGTTGTATGTTCTTTGCGGTAACTACACATTTTTTCAAGGTTTTTTCATATTGTTTATAATGTTTTACAAGGATAGGGTCGTTTATTCTTTGTGTTAAAACTTTTAGTTGTCTTTTATTTGCACGATAACTTAATGCCTTTTGTTAGCCAGTACTAATTGTTTGTTTTAATTTTTACCAGTTTTTGCGGTATACCTACTTACATGAATTTAAAATTGTTTTCAGTATATCATTAAGTATTTGATAATTTTTGTTGAAGTTATTCTTTGGTATAAGTATCACTTTGGTTAACTGAATTAAAAAAGTTGATTTGGTATTTTTAATTCAGTTTTAAAATGCTGTATGTTATCAGAATTAAATAACCGTTTTTAGTGTAAGTAGGCACCATACCATAGGTTGAGTGATGCAATTTTTATGTAGTTTCATATGGAGGACAGTGGCGTAGTGGTCTGAGAAACCTAATTCTCTAAATACCTGTGCCAACTGCTTGCCTGTATGGGAAATTGCTGTTTTCATTTTCAGGTCTCTTTTCATATTTTATATTCACCTCTATCGACAGTTACATAATTATTTGTTCTGTCAAAGTTTGTGAATATTAAAATCTAGGCATGTTGAACTGGTTTGGGTTGCGTGTTGGAGATTTTATTCGTTGTGTAAACTTATATTGTAACATGAGATCAAGTAGTGAGCTAGCTTTAACATTATTTAGTAAAACATTTACATTTAAATCTCCTCCAATTATTATGTTATATTTTAAGTACTTCTTATATACATATGTATAAATAACAATATTTTTAGCTTAAATATAAATAATCCTTCCTCTTTCCTATTCCTATATATAGTAATAATTAATACTTTATCCCTAGGTATTTCAATTGCACATGTTTCTATACAATATTCTATTGACATATTTGTAATATCACTAACTTCTAGTGTCCGACCTAAGCTTCGGCTTCGGCCACCTTCTGCCAAAAAAAGCACCTTCGGCCAAAAATTTGCCGAAGGTTTGCTTTTGTGCAAAGCAGCAGAGTTTCACCGCGCCGCCACACCGGCCCAAACGAATCGCAGTTAGTAGGTAACACAGAGTACATTTTAGCAATAGGAAAGTGGGTAAACTAAATGAAACTCGGGATTGTCGACATTATGAGGCCGCTATTTTATAATGTTCGATATGTAGGCTTCTAATTTTTCTTGTGATAGCCATGTCTCACATAGACATATTACATTGTAGGTACACTGAGTTTTCCTGGACAAAGGCCTCGAAAAGGTGTCGTTTGTTGTATAAACTTTGTATATTATTTTGGAATAGGTATAATCTTAAAATGTTCTTCTGTAGTATCGAAAAGTATTATACGAAGCTCTCTACTCTCCCCACACTTAAAATTTAATTTCACCATGCAAAAACTCCCAGAGGGTCATGGCTATATATAAGGATAATCCGCGGATATCGCACGATCTCCAGTGTGGCGGCGAACCTCCTTGCCGGATCACCGCCGTGGGATCTGGTAGCGAAGGCGCTCGCGCGCGTCTACAGTTTGCGCGCAGACGCGCGTCGCCGGGGCGAGGATCCTCTGCCGCGCCAAGTTAGTGCGTGGCGGAATGAGCTCCGGCGAGATCTCATGGCTGAGTGGAAGCAGCGAATGTCGCAACCGAAGGCCGGGCACGCTACTATAGCAGCGGTAGGTCTCCTCTTTGAGGAGTGGCTTGAGAGACGCCACGGCGTCCTCACCTTCCGCCTGACGCAGGTGCTTACCGGGCACGGCAGCTTCGGTAGGTTCCTGTTTCGGATCCAGCGGGAGGAAACGCTCGAGTGTCGTCATTGTGAGGACCACCTAGAGGATACGGTGGCGGTATGCCCTGCCTGGGCTGAGCACCGCCTTGCCCTCAGGGAAGTGATAGGCGGCGGCGACCTCTCGCGCCCGGCCTTAGTCGAGGCCATGGTGCGAAGCGAGAGGAACCGGGACGCGGTCTCCTCCTTCTGTGAAGCAGTTATGCTCGCAAAGAGGGAGGCGACCCGCGTGAGGGAGCAATCCTCCTCCACACGCCCCAGCCGCTGCGACAGGCGATACTACGGGCGTCGGGGATCAAGGGACGATTTCCCTAAGGTAAGGGCAGCTCGCCGCCGCCCGACCAGAACCAGACCCGAGCGTACGGCGCGTAGCGTTCCGCGCGCGCCTCAAAAAACCAATAGACCACCACAGTCGGGGCGCTATAGGGCTGATGTTCAGCCGGGGTGGAAGGGTAAGCGCAATGAGGCACCGCGACCTCGGCCCAGAGCAGGAGAAGGAACGGGGAGGTTTTTAGTCAGCAAGAGTGTAACACCCCCTCCGCCCGGCCATGGGCGGGAGAAGTCATTTGATGATTTTCCCCTCACAAAACAAAAAAAAAACATGCAAAAACAAGAAAACGTTAGCCTAGGTCTTAAAAATGCGAAAGTGACTCTGTCTGTCTTTCTTTTCTTCAAGCCTAAACTAGGTACTGAACCGATTTCAGTTAAATTTAGTACAGACATAGTTTGGAACTTGAGAAAGGACATGGGATAGCTTTTATACCAAAAACTTGCAGGAAGTCACTATTCCACGCTAACGGAGTCGCGGGCAAAAGCTAGTATATAATTGTATGGGAGTGTGTCTGCGTGTTTAAAAATGAATATCTACATAGAGGTAACTTTTGAAATGTTCGTTCAATACTCGTGCGAAGCCGAGGCGGGCTGCTAGTAATTAATTATTTGTTTTAAAACTTGAGGCACTGACTTTTGACCTAACAGTGGATTGGCAACAGCCGGCTTATTTTTTCTTTTCCAAATTAAATATGTTACTAAAGACGGTGATTCAATCTTGTAGATACACATAATGTATGAGAGAATCATAGACAATTAAAAAACATACCTATAGGTATCTATGGTGCGAACCATGCAGAGAAAAAATGTGATAAGAACAAGTACCCAATGACATCATTAAATTTAAAACCTTACTTACTTATTAGGTATCTCATCATCTTATAATCACAGCGATACTGAGAATCTGAAAGAATGCTTTCTTTATAATGAAAACTCTAGTTAGCGGTAGATACCTACCTAATTAAAAAAAGAAATGTGTGATAGCATTATATAATCAAAGCAATAGTTCGGAGAATTTAAGTAACTGCTGACTAAGTATATTTTGGTATTGTCCGGAGCTAAATACGAATCTACGGAGAAATGATTTGATACCCACGGTCGCGCCGTACAAATCACGAGAAATGATTTGTACGGCGCGTACCTAGCGTTCCGCGCGCGCCTCAAAGAGCCATTCGACCACCACAGACGGGGCCCTAAAGGGCTGATGTTCAGCCGGGGTTGCGGGGTAAGCGCAATGAGGTACCGCGACCTCGGCACAGAGCAGGAGAAGGAACAGGGTGGTTTTTAGTCAGTAAGAGTCTGACACTCCCTCCTGCCCGGCCCTGGGCGGGAGAAGTCATTTGATGATTTTCCCCTCACAAAAAAAACAGCATTAAATTTTACCTTTTTTCTTTAAAATATAGCTAAAAGCGCCTTAGTAAAAACAATATGGGTATGTTTGACTTCTGAAAATCGAAAGCAAAGGTAAAACATCCTTAAAAAAGAGGAAAATTAGATTAGAATTAGACACAGTAAGATCGTATATTTTACAATGTAATAATATTAATTTTTTGTGTGTCGTGCCGTCTGCCTGCTGCCTGCCCAATCTGCTTGTAACCATGAGAGCCCGGCTCCGACTTATGAGCTGGGTAAAACTCGGTACCCAACATTCAGCGGCACTTCTCCTGCTCAAACCATCCACCTATTTGTGGTCCACTTGGAATTCATTATTTTGATTTTGACTTTGACCAAGATCGTTGGAGTCTGTTTAGGTCACCTCAGCTGATTAAACTTACGTACGACAAACACAAAAAACAGCGAGCGCCCCTGAAATCAGTGGCCTTAGCGATGCAGACATTTTATGGTAAGATTAGGGTTGGTGGACACACGTTACATTTAGTCAATGAGTGACACAAATCATGAAGGCCTGCAGAGTGGCGAGACAGAATAAACAATGGTGAGTGAGCACGAGGCCTCAGAGAGTCAGGGCGCGCGTTACGTAAGGCGGCGGCGCGCCTGCGCGGAGCTCGCGCCGCGCCACTGTGCCAGTACTGGCAGTGTCACGGCCCAAGCCGCCGCACTCCCGGCCGCGCCCGCTCTCCGCGCAACCACGCGATCCCACGGAAAACATGATCCACTTCATATTATCTTAAATACAGCTTGGCTAAGACCTAGCTTCGGCAGCGCGTTCTCATTATCTCATGAGCCGGTGGACAGCGCGTTAGGCGCCGGACGCGCCGAGCCGTCTGCCGAGGCTGGCGCGCCGAGCAGTCGCTGGTGCGGGCCGCGCCATCCGCGCTTGCAGAGCTAATTGACGTGGCCGTAGACATTCGATCGCGTGTGCGGTGCAGTGTTGGTGTGACGCGAGCCGTGCGCCCGTATCGAGCGATGCGAGCGCTGGCGTCGCGGGCAGCGCGAGGCCCGGCCCGCGGCCGCCGCAGCTGCTAAGTGGATTAGCTCGCGCTGCTGCCGCGAGCCCTACTTGTGCTGGATGCTCGCCGCCACACGTAAACAATAATATCGATCTCGACTGTGCCTGCCGCCGTCGTGTACGTACTTTACTTGTTTGTTTCCTTTCCCTAGCAGTGCCAGGAGACTGTACTGCCGTCCCACAGTTGTTGCTGGCGGCTCGGTCGCCCGATCCTTGTACCGGGTGCTCCGCCATGGCATGCGATCCATCGACATGTCTCCTTAGTTTAGTATGAATTGCTTCGGATCAGTGACTGCCTCTGTGTTAATGTGCCTGTTTATTTCATATAGGTATTTACTTTCTGCAGCTATAACTTGACTCCATTCACCTAGGTACCTAGGTTGATGAGTTTCATCATTGAACTCCTCCTAATCAGTAAATCAGTACTTAGGTACTCCAAAAGTCTGATCAAATATAAGACGGATACTTAGTTGGTTCAAATCGTTTAGTCGTACTGTAACAGGGGTGTGTTGATGTTACTGGGACCGTTGGCGAGGCTGTGTGTCTCTCATGCACGACTCACACAGTACCTACTTGTGTGTCTGTGTGTCTCATCCATTGACATGCGATGAGGTTGGAGAGGAAGTATCGTTTCATTTAAGTAGGCGTGAAGATTAACAAGCAGGTACATAAATAGAAAATATTCAGGCAGACTATAGCTGTTCCGACTCCGAAAGCGTTCCTACCTAGTTATTATATTATCTTGTAAGCATAGACTATACAATATATACTGAGCTTGTAAGGCTTTAAGTACACCCCTGCACTTTTCTAGCCGCCGCATTTTGATTTCAGTGAGCACTGAACCCTCACACTGACTCACACAGCACGCATGTACTCTTAGTTATGGCAGTCACTTGTAAACACTCACATTGAGGCTCCGAGCATTTTACCCAACTACATTATATCGATCTGGCTTTAGACGTAACAACAGAATTATTGCTCAGCAACTTAAATTTGCACCTCCCCACAATCAAAACAATGTTAAAATGTTGTACTTAGATGAAAGCTTTATATATTTATTCATTTAAAGCGGTGGCATAACGGCGTAACTCTGTGTGTGATCCAATAAATGTAGGTAAACTTTAAAATGGTACCAGACGTCTATGAGATTGCCTTGACTTCATTCATAATGTTATTGCGTCAAGGTGCGTGGATACTAACTACTTAATAAGTAAATAGGTAGGTACTTATTGTTATTATTTTGACTATATTTATAACAGACAAGTTTCTAATAAAAACACACACATTATGTATGGAGGGCATGATCATTTTTTTTAGGGACTCGAAATATGGAACGCTTTTGTCAATGTCTTTAGGTACCTACACCGCACATTCATTGTTTCATTGTATACCTAGGTAATATATTTCTATTATAAAATAAATGATTTGACCTTTTCTGTTTTGAGTTGTCTAAATTTAGGTTTAGTGCAATTAAATAAATGAACCGTCGCAAAGTGACTGTAAGTAGTACCTACGTATGTTCGAGCATTGCGGGTCAGTAAACTATTGGTCGAGTGTCTTGAGACATGCAGCATTGGCGTGTGACGAGTGCGTCTTTTGGGAACGCTAAACATTTCTCTGGACCAACTCGGGACGATCCAAGCGGCCATTAATTATATCGTACAGCAAACACTCCAATCCAGTTTCCTTCTCCTTTCCTCGACGGTTGGCAGTCCATAATAATATGACCGACGACGGTTGTCGTAGGACATCGGAGCTTTACGAAGGCGATAATTAAGGTGCTTGATAAACATTCTATACCTACACTCGATTGCATTCGTTGCACTCGATTAATATTTATGACATTAGGTTATGGGCGATATTGTCGAAAGCCTTTGTCATATCGGTTTAATTTGAGCATATTGGATTTCTTTTGTTTAAAAATGAAAATAATTTTCCAAATACAAAATTAGAGAATTGCAAATGACTTTTTCAAAAGTCAGAATAAAATAGGTATTTATGTTTGCTATGGGAGTAGATAGTTTTAAATGCCAATTAATAAATAGGGTCTTAGTTTAATCTGTAATCCCAAAGTACCTACTGGTCTTTGTTTAGGTGTTTCCAAAGAGTATAAGTGGTTATATCGTCATTGGTCACCTCACCTACATCCGCGAGATATGCACTTCGTCTGCTTGAAAGTGACTCGTAAGTTGGGTCGGTGTTTCTGCTCGGAGTGTCGGCTAGTTTCAATTAGTTGGACTCAAACGAGTATCTATACCTAAGCGTAATGTACGAAAATCATCTCATTTCGAAGAGTTGCGTTCCTGCCGCTACGCGTGACGATGCAGGCCCGCCCAGCGTATCACACACGCCGTTCTCCGACATACTTCGATGTTTTCATTATTTGGATCTAATGTCCATTATGTAAGTTCGCGCAAGAATAAGAAAATAAATTAGTACATGTACATAAATTAGTAATACATCAGTAGCACATGGAAAATAATATGTAGGTGTAAGAACAAGATCGCAAAGTTAGCTGGTCCGCCATACGCAATGTTTACTTATTCCCTCTAGCACCAAGTGCAAGTCTTCGGGTCGCGATGGACATTATCAGTCACGCACGAATTATACGTTTTGTTGAATGAGCACCTAACTAATGCTAACGCTATGAGCCCAGGAGAGTATTAATGATGAAACCTAGAAATAGATATACGCCCAGTAGGTATATACTAACCTACATGGCTGTAGGTAAACATATTCTTTTCATTGACTTTAACAACACTTCCAATAAATTGTTCAGACCGCAATATTTGGGTTAACCTGTGCTTACGTATCGGAGTTGTAAAGTGGATTCAACTGGAGGTATTTCAATATCATTCGTGATCCGTGACGGACGGACATTATTTATGCGTGGTTGAAGGACACGTCTAGGCCGCCTAGCGCACACGTAGGGGCTGAGACTCCCCTAAACCGCTAATAGTATTAAAGAGAGCGGTGATTCAGTACACTAATACACCCGACAACTTAACCTCAGTTTGACTCTCGCGCCGCGCCTGCCTGCAGGCTGCGTAGCGCCACCCGTTGGATGTTGAGGCTATTCATACACTTAGGTATTAAGTAGGTACCCGTCTATCTAGCCGGTAGCTACTTTAAAAATTTTCATCCTGTCAGCTTTGACCCGAACAAACAAATTCAGGCAATGTATGTAGTAGGTATATATAGATTGCGTGCGCCCACTTAGTGGAGTGTTTCATACATAATGCACACATAGAATTGTCTATAGAGAGAAACATACATATGTCCGCCTGGACCCGGCCATAGAAGAAAATATGACATGACCCGATGACAAAGGTTGAGAATTTCAAAAGTCGGCAACGCAAGTATATTTTTACCAGCCGGGGTTGCGGGGTAAGCGCAATAAGGCACCGCGAACTCGGCCGAGAGCAGGAAAAGGAACAGGGGGGTTTTTAGTCAGTAAGAGTCTGACACTCCCTCCCGCCCATTTTCCCCTCACAAAACCATATCTTTACAAGATGGGCTTTTCGTAAGTTAAATACTGTTTTACGAATTATGCTAGATACGATCTGGAACGAACGAACCTTCTGTGTTACAGAACCTACAGCAGCTGCACCAAGCATCTAAGTAGGTACTTATCGTGCCGTATCGTCTTATCACGTTTCTAGACTCCTAATTATCTACCGAATAAGGTACGTAGGTGTAAGAGAAGCTTATGACTGCTCTGGGAGGAATAAAAAATAATAAACACACCAAAAAAATTTAAACAGCATTCATTACTTATTCACATTTTAATTTTGCAATGTAATTTAACATTGAGCCTGTAGTATTTAATATTCATTATTCATTATTCATTGATGGCTTTTCGAAGAAGCAAATTACAAATACGTAAAACATAGCAAAGACGTTCTAAGATATAGCAATAGCATGATCTTTATGACGTAAGCTTGTTTTGAAGTAATGTGTGTACCTAATTGTATAGAAACTGGTTAACAAACCGTTAGTTCAGAACTTGCCGACACCGAATATTCATAGGAGTGATACCACGACCTTACAGAAAACCGCCGTGAAACAACCACAGCGTTGTGTTTCGCCGTGTGAGTGAGGTTACCGGAGGCCCAATCCTTCGCCTCCCCTGACCCTTCCCCAATACAAAATTTTGTAAAGATAATTATACCGTGTTTAGTATCATTTTAAAGGGTATTCCTTTCAGTATTCTGAAAATCTTGTTTTATACTTTTGCAGCGTCGGTTTTTGTCGTAGTTGGGTTATAGTTTTTATACTTTTTATTATTATATTCAGAAGGTATACTACCTCTATCTTAAAGTTAGTAGCTAGCACACTCAATCGTGTCGCCATAAAAATTCTCTCTAAGTTAAGCTGGCGTGCCCATATGAAGCGTTTTTCCCTCACAAAAAATGGGTATTTTTTTTTATGTGATATTTCGGCAAACGAGTAGACGGATTACCTGATAGTCAGCAATCAGCGCCGCCCATGGAAACCCGCAACGGAGGAGTTGCGAGTGCGTTACCGACCTTTTAGGGATTAGGGATTTGGAGATTTAGGGATTGGGGGAGGGGAAGGATTGGGCCTCCGGTAACCTCACTGACACTGATTTTCTGTGAGGCCGTGGTATCACTCCGGTCGAGCCGACCCATTCCTGCCGAAGCATGGCTCTCCCACACTTAAATGTAATGTTTTAGGTACTGTGTAAATAAGTTATTGGGTGAAACGAATAGACATGTGAAGTATCACACAAACCTGAGAGGTTTAAGTGATACTGAATCAGATAAAAACACGTTAACATTAATTAATTAAATAAATATAAGTAAGTTAATTATTATTATAATAATACGTGCTACTTAACATTTAAGATGTTCTAAACATGTATTTTTTTGTTTTATTTATATACCTACATCATGGTTCCGCCCTCGGATTTTCTCGTGTTATTGGTGCGTATACGTACTGTACAAAGTAGGTAGGTAACCTACACATCACACACAGAAAGGGTTGTTCGGTGAGGGAATCGAACCCACGACATGTTTTGCATAGATTCTATGCAAGCTCGATGTATTACAGTCTGGTGAGGGTGCAGGCAATATCCAAAAGGGTACACAGCATGCTTTGTTACGCATGGGCTTGTGTTATCACATAAGACCTGAGCGTTCATGTTTCTATTGACCGCCCGCCCCGACCTTGACCTTTGTATGGATGGACATCTTGAACACATCTCAGGCTCTAATTGTTTCCAGGACGGCGGCACACTCTCACCCTTCTAGTCATTCATCTCAGGCCTAAACCCAAATCCAGACTCATCGCAAAACAAATGTAAATGTTCCGTTCACTTGACGAGCGCGTTTCTCACGACCTTTACACATATAGATATGGTTGTCAACCCAATCAACTCATGAAGTTGATCCCCCAAAATTGGGCACTGAAAATAATTACAAAAACACCCTTTGTGTGTTGTAGCCTTTGTCTCTCGGGGTCTTGTGGTCACTTGAATGTCATCATCCGGAAGACGTCCACTGCTGAACAAACGCCTCCTCATTAATTCTCCACGTAAATAACAACACACACCCACAGCTGCACAAGCCACTTACATCCATTGGCTCCCCGCGACTCTGACGATGTCGACGGTCCACGCTAGTCAATTGGCCGCCAGTCCTTCGAGCGATGTGGTCTGCCCATTGCCATTTGAGCCTGCAGATTTTACGAACTATGTTCGTAACTTTAGTTCTTTGGTGAATTACCACATTTTTGTCGCGCAAACACCCCGAGCATAGGTCGCTCCATTTTGCATCGTGTATGAGCGACTCGAGGGCTCTCCTGAAGGCCCGAAGATATTGAGTGAACATCCTGGTCTTCAGGCACTGTGGGATTTTCGATGATAAGACTTCGCCCGGTGCCTTGTTGATTTATGCTGTTTAAGAGCCAATCTAATCTCGCACAGGCTGATGTCGTGGATATCCTCAGTGTAGTGCCGTGTCTTCTGGGGTCCCGACCTGTACTAACAATAATTGTTTCAGATTTTAAATCATAGTAGTTGACACCGTTATTAATTTGTGTAAATTTTTCGTATGTCATGTCATCAATGATGGATGACGGCTAACATATGTATGTAACATTATGTACAACAAAGGCGCGGTGTGCTGAGATGGCGGGCGACATGTGACGTCACGGAGCCACGCTAGCGGCGGCATGCCGGGCGGCCGCCGGGGGCTCGTGGCCCCGCAGAACACCTTCCTCGAGAACATCATCCGGCGCTCCTCCTCTCAGCGTGAGTGCCAGCCGCAGCTGAAGTGCTACCTCCCCCCCTCCCCCCAACCAGCACTAACCTGTGACCGCTTCTCTGCAGCAGACAGCAGCTTTCTGTTGGCCAACGCACAGATCGTGGACTATCCGATCGTGTATTGTAACGAGACGTTCTGCAAGATGAGCGGCTACAACCGAGCGGAGGTCATGCAGAAATCGTGCAGGTAAACGCTCTTATTGGCCACTTTCTAATTACTTCCTCCACATATAGGTATATGAGGCATGGGCTATGGCGTGCTTTAATGATAGGTACCTAAGTCCGTGGGTAGGTATACATTTATTTAAATATTAATTAATTAATAAAAAAATACATTTCTGCTAACGTATATTTTTTATATGTGTTCCTGTTAATTAACTGGTATTTTATGATTGGCACGTACATTGCGACGTTCTGCAATCAGGTCAGTACTATTATAATAACTGAATTTCGGACGATCCGATATGACAAGCCCTAGAGCAGTAGGTACAAAAATTAATGCGTTGTTTGCACAGATGCACGTGGATGTACGGCGAGCTGACGGAGAAGGAAGCGGTGGAGCGAGTGGACCGCGCCCTCGACCACCACCTCGCCGACCAGTTCGAAATCCTGCTGTACAAGAAGAACCGTAAGTAGTGCAGAGAGTGTCCCTGCAGGGGCAGCGCAGCGCGTGACGCGGGTGTCGTGTTGCAGGCACGCCGCTGTGGCTGCTGGTCCACGTGGCGCCCATCCGCAACGAGCGCGAGCTGGTGGTGCTGTTCCTGCTCACGTTCCGGGACATCACGGCGCTCAAGCAGCCCATCGACGCGGACGACCCCAAAGGAGGCCAGTACTCAGCGTCTGTCCCGGCGACTCGCCTCGAGCGCTGCGTGACCGAGTGCGTCTGTCCACAGGGCTGTCCAAGTTCGCGAAGCTGGCGCGCTCGGTGACGCGGTCGCGCTCCGTGCTGGTGTCGGCGCTGCCGGCGCTGAAGGAGCCGCAGCGCGCGAGCCACCTGGCGCATGTCAGTACTCCCGCCCACCATGTAAACACGCACTCTCACTACGCCGCACCGCCACCCGCTACATATAACGGCTCGGTCCGCGACCCGCGCATGGCTTGCTGAGCTAGTCGTGGCGCGGGCCGAGGCTGAGACGGTCGCGTGTGCGCAGGTCATGTCGCTGTCGGGCGACGTGCTGCCGCAGTACCGGCAGGAGGCGCCCAAGACCCCGCCGCACATCCTGCTCCACTACTGCGCCTTCAAGGCCATCTGGGACTGGATCATCCTGTGCCTCACCTTCTACACGGCCATCATGGTGCCCTACAACGTGGCCTTCAAGAACAAGACGAGCGAGGACGTGTCGCTGCTGGTGATCGACTCCATCGTGGACGTCGTCTTCTTCATCGATATAGTGCTAAACTTTCACACCACCTTCGTGGGCCCCGGCGGCGAGGTGGTCAGCGACCCGAAGGTCATCCGTAAGAATTACTTCAAGTCGTGGTTCCTGATCGACCTGTTGTCGTGCCTTCCTTACGACGTGTTCAACGCATTCGACCACGACGAGGATGTGAGTAGCGGGGCTGGGCGCGAGCCAGGCGCCTGGCCTCGCCCACGACCGAGTGCTCCCTCCGCAGGGTATCGGCAGCCTGTTCAGCGCGCTGAAGGTGGTCCGGCTGCTGCGGCTGGGCCGCGTGGTGCGCAAGTTGGACCGCTACCTGGAGTACGGCGCCGCCATGCTCATCCTGCTCCTGTGCTTCTACATGCTGGTGGCACACTGGCTCGCCTGCGTCTGGTACAGCATCGGCCGCTCTGACGCTGACTCGGGTCTGCAGTACTCGTGGCTGTGGAAGCTCGCCAACGTGACTCAGAGCCCGTACTCGTACGTGTGGTCCAACGAGTCGGACGGGCCCGAACTCGTCAACGGCCCGTCGCGCAAGACCATGTACGTGACCGCGCTCTACTTCACCATGACCTGCATGACCTCCGTGGGCTTCGGCAACGTCGCCGCCGAGACCGATAACGAGAAGATCTTCACCATCTGCATGATGATAGTGGCAGGTGCCGGAATTCTTCTGTTATTAGCCGGAGCACGGCGCGACCCCCGCGCAGTCGCTGTAGCGGGGGCCGCGCCCTTCCTCCCCCCTCCGCCTCGCCCCCGCACTCCGCACTCGCGTGTGTGTTAGCCCTCCGCACCCCTCATCCGGTACTCCACCACCTGTCCATGTACTCGTTTTGTTTGTTTGAGTTGTCCGTCCTCGTCTGTCCTCGAGTCCCCGTGCAGGCCCACGAAGCGTCACGGCGCGTCACATACGTGGTGGCGAGCCTCACGTACGTACGTCGGGTGCGGGTTACTTTACTGAATGCATACAGTTATATACGATACGAATTATATACGTTACCATTACCACAATTCCAAAAGTGTTAGCTAATTAATGCACATAATTTTCAGTGAGCAGTACCTAACTCGGTAACAGTAGGTACCCCCCGTGGCGTAGTACGTGACGCTCTCTGTGTTGTGTTGGTTTGGACCACTCGGAACGGTGTCATGAATACTTCTGATAAAAGTATCACGATGCATTGATTTATCAACAATTGAACCGGGACTAATGCGGACTAGTATCTAGTAATTTTTTTTTTCTTTATACAAGTTGACGCAATGACGATGTACATGTAACCACTTGACGGCGCATATAGTGCCCCGCCGCGCCGCTCGAAAACGATTAGTACTTTGTCGCCTATGTCTAGGCCTCTAGTAACTATTTAATTGTGTCCAAGTGATAGACCTCTACGCACGCAAAATAAAAAACAATTTTTATGATTGCAAATTTATCGCAACAAAATGCCTTCATGCGCGATATACACTACTTAGTGTAGGCAACATTCCAAGACATCTAGCTACAAAAAAGATGGAATTATTTTTCATCGGCAATTAAATAATACGAAAATATTTTTTTTATATTATCAGATTATGAGACTCCGCAGGGATCTAGATGAAATGGTGGCTAGGTAAAAAAAAGCACACATTTTTTTTTATGTTTGTTACCTCAGAACTCCGTTGTTTATGGACGGATTTGCAAAAAATTTTTAATAGATGGAATCAATGTCGATAATAATAGAATTAAATAAACTACAACTTTTGTTTAAAAAATATAGGTAAACATTTTATAACCGATTTATAAAAAGGATTTTTTCTAATGTATAATGCTCCCATATTACTGGAGTACGATTTGTTTTATTCGTCTATGTGTTTGACATCCCTGTATGTATATTCATTTTACATTTCCGCAGATTCCGAAACTTAGAGAAAAATTAATAGATATACATAAGTATATGTATATTCAACAATCGATAAAATCATTCTATCGATTTTAGCTATTATTTTCCCTTAAATCAAGTAAGTAGACCGTCCCTAACGCTAGCCATACCTACGCAACTTGACCTTGAACTGAGCAATTGCAGTCGCGCGTTATTCCTCGTCCCCCGGCCCGCGGTAGTGAGTTGTGTTCTTAGAAGAAATCGGCCTATAAGCTCTCTAGTGGTTATATCCTCATTGACTTGACGTCTAGACTAGAGTGTACTGCTCGGAACGACAAACAGTGCTAGCCCCGTTTTAGTCCTCGTTTATCTATGGAAGGGTTCATTTAGTTTTGTGCTATCTGCTACAAGATGTAGTAAGTATTTGTGCTCCCCTGTACATACCTGTAATGCCGAGCTAACGAGTAAGCGGCGCTCACCGCGAAGCGTTGCAATGTTGCCAGCCCTGCTGTACGCCACCATATTCGGCCACGTCACCACCATCATCCAGCAGATGACCTCCGCCACGGCCAAGTACCACGACATGCTGAACAACGTGCGTGAGTTCATGAAGCTGCACGAGGTGCCCAAGGCGCTGAGCGAGCGCGTCATGGATTACGTGGTGTCCACGTGGGCCATGACCAAGGGGTTGGACACCGACAAGGTAAGGCGGTTGCCGCGGGGGGCGGGGAGGGGGGCCGGGCCGGGCGCCGCTGACCGCGAGCGTGCGCAGGTGCTGAACTACTGCCCCAAGGACATGAAGGCGGACATCTGCGTGCACCTGAACCGCAAGGTGTTCAACGAGCACCCCGCCTTCCGCCTGGCGTCGGACGGCTGTCTGCGCGCGCTGGCCATGCACTTCCAGATGTCGCACTCCGCGCCCGGGGACCTGCTCTACCACACGGGCGAGTCCATCGACTCGCTCTGCTTCATAGTCACGGGCAGCCTCGAGGTCATCCAGGACGATGAGGTTGTCGCTATTCTCGGTATGTACACGCTCCGTCTGCTTCTGCCTTACCTATCCTCATTTATTGAAGGTCGGTCTCGATCGTATGTTATCCTAATTTTTGGCCTAGTCGACTTTTTTATTGAATTTCTGCCGTGTCGCATATATCACAGACGAAGAAGGTCAAACTCAAAGATATATCAATAATGTAGTTTTCTATAAGCAAGTAGGCAGTTAGGCAAGTTTGACAGGCGGTGAAATGAGGTATGGTACGTGAGACCAATGAAACGTTATGACGATCGACTCCCGCGCTCCCAGGTAAGGGCGACGTGTTCGGCGACTCGTTCTGGAAGGACAGCGCCGTGGGGCAGTCCGCGGCCAACGTGCGCGCCCTCACGTACTGCGACCTGCACACCATCAAGCGCGACCGCCTGCTGGAGGTGCTGGACTTCTACCAGGCCTTCGCCAACAGCTTCGCGCGCAACCTCACCCTCACCTACAACCTGCGCCACCGCCTCATCTTCCGCAAGGTGGCCGACGTGCGCCGCGAGCGCGAGCTCATGGAGCGCCGCAAGCGCGAGCCCCAGCTCGAGCAGGCGCAGGACCATCTCGTGCGCAAGATCTTCTCGCGCTTCCGCCGCGAGCGCAGCGTGGCCGCCGCCCCCGCGCCCGCGCCGCGCCCCGCGCCCGCCGCGCCCGCGCCCGACCCCGAGCGCGGCGAGCCCGCGCCCTCCGCGCCCGTCGCGCCCGCCGCGCCCGCGGCTGCCCGCGGCAAGTGGGGCCGCCTACTGGCCACGGGGTCGCTGGACGCGGGCGCAGCCGAGCCCGCGCGGGGCGCCTTCACGCGCAGCCTAAGCGCGCGCGACCGCCCGGCCGCGGCGGACGGATCCGCCGCCGCGCCCCCGGCATCGGCCTCCACCGCGCCCCCGGCCGCGCTACCTGCTGTGTCAGCGCTCTCGCTCAAGGTGCTCCTTGCCCACTGCCCAAATCGGTTGAAATCCCTGTAAACCAGAATCTACAGTAGATATACTATTAGGTACAGCTACAATGCAATCCTCCTCTGGTGTTACGAGTGATGGGTGGCACTGCGGTCATGTGGGTTCAGAATTTTGGAGATTTTGGGATTGGGGGCAAGATAGATTGGGCCTCCAGCGACTTCATTTACACAACGAAACAGAACGTGCGTGTTTGGCTCCACGCCGGTTTTCTTTTAGCAACTCCGGCCGATTCTGCCGAATCATCTTCTATATTTATAAGGGTGAATATAGGTTATAATATTAGTGTGACCAACGCCACAATGAGCCGAGGGTCGTAATGTCGGTTCGCAGGCCACGTTCGCCAAGGGGCGCAGCGCCAGCGCCGCCAGCTCGCGCCAGGACACCATCGAGGAGGAGCTCGAGGAGCGCCGGCCGCCCGCGGCGCCCTCGCAGTCTGTGCAGCCTGTGCAGCCTGTGCAGCCCGTGCAGGCCGCGCAGGCAGCGCAGCCCGCGCCGGCCGTGCAGTCTGTGCAGTCTGTGCAGTCTGTGCAGTCTGTGCAGTCTGTGCAGTCCGTCCAGGCGGCGCATGCGTCCCATGACGCGGCACTGGCTGAGCTACGTCGGGATGTACGCAACGAAGTGCAAAGACTACAGCAGAAGGTTAGAATCTAGTACTTGAGTTTGAAATATTAACTAATCTTTTTTCGTGAATTAGTCATTAAATTATAGTTAACGGGCGCAGGAGAAGTCTCGCTCAGGGAACTGACAATACTAAAACTGGCTCTACCGGTAATACCTACGGGGGTTATCACCAGTCTGGCAGTGCAACACTCTACAGTCGACGCTTTTCGCCAGTTTGAAAGGTTGTTGCGGGAGATAGTCGACGGAGTCTGCAGGTCTTTTTCTATCGTTATTAATATTGGAGTCCATAGGGTCTGTATCTGGACTACGGTGGGGAGGCGAAACTGGTATATTAAGAGAGTCAGTGCGGTTCTCCTTGTCAAATCAATGAGTGTTTGGGTGGAAGACGTATAAAGTCTAGTTGTTTTAACGCCTCGACTTATTAAAGACTTGACAACGTCCCTGCGCCCATTCTACCGGAGAGAATAGAGAGCGACGGAATTCGAGGAATTGTTTTCAATATCTTCAGAGATAGTCATAATCGGGTTCAGGTAGTGAAAGCCGTGGAGGATGTGAGTAATGAGCTGATTGATTACAATGTACCACAGTAGAGTACTTATACTAGGTACTACCTTACTCCTCATCCACATTGAAGACTCGTATAGACTCACACTGGAGCAGGTACTGGGATATTATCACTTGTGCTGAGGACAAAGCCTTGTTGTTTTCCGGGGACATTAGTTAGATCCGTACCATTCTAACTATGGACGGACGGATAGCGGAGGCTGCTTTTTATTAACACAGCACGCGGGCGAAGCCGCTGGCGGAAGCTAGCCTCAAATAAAAGTTAAATACTTTGTTTTACAGCTGGGACGAGTAGAGGAGTTGCTGACAATGTTGGCGACGCGACTTGGCGCCGAACCCGACGGCGCGCCTCAGTCCACACCCAGCGAGCCCGACGCAAGGCCTGACGCGCGCCTCGAAGTAAGGCCCGACGCGAGGCCTAGCGATGCAGCCAGGAAGCGCCGTTCCAAGGTCGGCCTCGCACTGTCGCGCGCCGTACTGCCGCCCCGTCGTTCCGGCTCGTAACTTACCTGTACATGGTTCTGTTCCGCAGGCGCGCAGCAAGGGCGCCGCCCCCACGCCGCCCGCCAGCACCCCGCCGGAGGGCGCGGCCCCGGCGGGCCCCGGCGGCCCCGGCAGCCCGGGCGCCAGCGCGTCGCAGCGGCGGCGGGAGTTCGTGTAGCGCGCGGCGGCGCCCGGCGCGCGGCGCAAGTAGCCGCGCGCGGGCGCCGGCCGCCCATTGTATATACCTACCTAGATATACTCAGTACGATGTAGATATGTAGCCACACGCGACGCAAGTAGACACGCAGCGTTAAGCTTATGGTCATACTACACGTCACACGGCTAGCAGGGCGGGACACTGCACCGCGTACTCCGCGCTCGTGGACCTGTGTCGCACTTGGTCTCTCGGCAACACGAATGGAAGGGCACACTAACTCTCAAATCTCATTTATTGTCAATTGATTGCAAGCGTGACGGCTTTTCACGAGTCTCTTGGTTCGAATCTAGATCCTAATATTTCTAGGTTCGGACAAAATACTTTTTGAGTGCCTTCGAATATAAAGTGATGCGACTAATCTTGAAGTAGGTGAGTAGATAGGTACTCTTCTAGTATTCTCTGCTAGAATCAGGCGGGCAGTGTCACTGTCGCGATGGCGTCATGCTAATAAGGTTGAATCTGTGTATTTATTGCTGATTCATTTAACCATATTTTCTATTAATTTGATAATCGGTTTAACCTAATCGGGTACCCACCATTTTCGAATGTGTATCCGTAAAAAACAAATATATAAGTATACAGGGTGTCCGGTAGTGAATGGATAATACCCGCTCAGACTTAATAGACGCACGGTTCAGCACACGCTTCTGGGTCGGCTTAACTGAATCTTGATTTAGAAATATGTACTAGTATTATATTGATGAATAGTGTGCCGAAACATGAACGCTGAAATCTTACCCAATACTTACTTATAACAGTTATTAACACACGGACTGAAATTTCCATATACTTACCTACTCTGTGTATATAGGTACGGGTCAGCCGGGGCCTACTTTTTAAGATTAAAAGGGCTGACGTTAAATATTGCTCTGTTGCAATCACTTGCGTACACTGGTAAGGTCCGAGGTAGGCGGCGGGCTGTGACAGTGAGACCAGCGCGGCAACGGCCACAGCGCAGTGTCTAGTTTTGCAAATTAGGCTTTTTGTACTGTACCGGTCATTTGTTTGAGCGGGTAAATATGTTGAACAAAAACAAATACAGACATGCTTTAAAACGTTCCAACTACAAACCCCCTGCGAAAATCATGGTTTTTTATAGATAAAGATATCTATGATATTTTAAGGTTGCAATTCAAACTGCTATACTTTTTTTTATAAGAATTTTTTTTTTTGTAATAGGTCGGCAAACTATCAGACGGATTACCTGATGGTAAGCAATCAGCGCCGCCCATGGACACTCGCAACGGAGGAGTGACGAGTGTGTTGCCGACCTTTTAGGGATTTGGAGATTTAGGGATTAGGGGAGGTGAAGGATTGGGCCTCCGGTAACCTCACTCACACGGCGAAACACAACGCTGTGGTTATTTCAAGAAACATATTTTTTTATAAGAAATATGTTTCTTGCTAAATATAATAAGTAGGTTCATAACGTTAGACCTATCTAACAACTCCCGCTAAATGGTTGAAGAAACAATGAATTAAATATCAACATACAATAGTGAACGAAAAAACCTTTTTCCTCAACAAATGAATTTAAGCGATTTTGAGATATCCTTCCAAAAAAATGTTCACACACATCTCACTTGTGTCCCAAACTCCATGAATTTGCAAAACGGTCACTGCGCAGGGCCGCAGAGACATCGACTCGTCCCTCACCGCGCAGAGTGCATTCTACTACCCACAACGCGGGCTTAGCTAAGAAATGTATAGAAACGCAAACTTTGTTCATTCATGTATTGTACCATTCATTATAGTTACTTCTCGAAACAAAAATGACATTTCACAAATTGAAATACTATGACACTGATGACCAACTATTTTTATATAATTGCTATTAAACTACTTGTTCACTGCAAGGGCTCTGACTCCTTTGTTAACTCTATGTAGATAAACAAAGCGCGTCACACCCCGCGACCAATGAGACGGCTTGTCTTGTCAACTTTTATACGCTACAAGTTTCATATAAATATTTAGATGTAAGGCGTCGCGCGTCGTCGACCACGCAGCCTCCAACTGATCCTACTTTGGCCGACATCAACATATCTAACCGAGTAACAAAGTACTGCAGGGCGCTATCAGGGCGTGCGCCGACTCGACCGTCCGAAACGCCTGTCTTATGTAGTTATTGGTTGTTAATGTTTTTAAAGTTTATCTGAGATATTGTATAAGTGTAGTGTACTCGGGGGTAGCGCGGGACTGAGGTGGGTTGAAAATGAAACGAGCCCATCGCTTTAATCCTAACTTTAATAATATATACAAAAGGAAATATAAGTGTGCCCCCGGTGCGGCGAGACTGCCCCGAGCCAGGCCGGCTCACGGCGCGGACGTCTCTTGCTCTTGTCTGTCTCTAGCTAATTATTTGTCAAGAAACCAATGACAGTTCCAATTTTCCAGCTATTTGTATTGTTTTCACAGAATACAATATTAATACTGTAGTCTTATGTTTTATTTATAAATCCTGAATAACAAGCTCCGAGCTGGTACAACTACAGCTAGGGATGAAGTCATGACTATGAAATTACAAGAGGCAACAAATGCAGATATGGTTATAGTGATTAGCAGGTTACGGTACACAGCTTCTGCCGAATACGCAGTTTGTACACATCTGGCTACTGAACTGGTTCCAGATATATTTCTGTGTGAGCTACACCACGCCCTGCTCTCGGTATGGGACAATTCCAAGCCGTTGTTACCTATGAAACAAAAACTCATTAAAAAGAGTGTGTTGTTTTAAGCAACTCTAGTTAAACCAAGGAAGATGCAAATAAAGTATATTTGTCAATGAATATCGAGGCCGAGCGTGGTGCAGCTGAAATTGCATAATTTCAATGTGACAGTAAAGTTTAGTGATACAATATTTATATAATACATATGAGAATCACCTCTGTTATACAGCTATAGGGAATATGCATAAAGTTCAAATACAATTTTTTAAAGTTTGGATATATACATTATTTTTTTTAAGTTTTAATCACATTTTCTGATTTTTAGGTAATTTCGTCTTGATTATGAAGATAGTGGTTGAAAAGTGCATTAAATACGTTTTACAATCAATGTTGACTATAATACCTGCAACGCCATAGGAAGACTGCAATGCCGATATTAATTTTTGCACTATTTATTAGATGTCATTAAACATCCATAAAAATCCGTGGTTTAAAGATTTAAGGTTACATAGCCTACATATCCCTGTATGGGGACAGAAAAAGCGACTTTGTTTTATATTATGTAGTAATACGCTGGGTAGGCCTGAAAATCAAAGGCATGGACTGAAGTGTTTGTGCATTGCAAATATGTATATCTGTATTACTGGTACTCGGTGTAAATAAACGATTTTCTTCTTTTTTTGGTTTCATTAGCAAAGGCAGTCATCTTGAAGCACCAGCAGGCAGTAGTATGCACGTGTAGTTCGTAAGTATGATAACGTCCGTGCTCTAGTTGAGGTGTATGTATGGTCGGTACACTACGGCGGGACTCGGCGCGCCGAGCAGGTTGCGCTCGTTTATAGAGTTGCTCTAAGCGAACTATTTATATTAAATTGAACGTTGTTTATTCATTGCTACTACAATATTTTTAAATTCGTGAGATAATGAAAATTTTCTTATTGACAGACGTATATGCATATTCCCATCATAAAACAATTACAAATATGTTTAAAAATACTTATTTTAAGTTTGGTTATTTAGATGGGGATTTTTTAAGTAACACGAGAGTTAGATAAAATTCCATTTTTAGATACAAATATGACGACCGAGCGGCGCGATCCATACAACGGTGGCGTGACAAGATTGTATTTCAGTTCGGGATCAGCTGAACCATCGGGAGACGGTTGTGGTGCAAACTCAGTTATCATCAAAATCCCAAAATAATAACAATATGAAACGTAAGAGTAATGTTGTTCACACATACTTCCAATATCGTAATACCGAGGAGAGTAGCCTTACAATAGCAGATCTCAGCGCGGTCATATAAAGGAATCCTTTTATCTCAAACAAACAAATAAAAACGACTATTTGAAACTGCATCCACAAAGAGCACGACCTGGAAGGCTGCAGACTGCAGGGACGGCCCGCGCCGGCTACTGGCGCTTGTCCGCCAGCGCCGAGTGATGCGACAGCGCAGAGTGCGCCGACGAACAAATGTCCTGCGCAACAAATTTCACTTTATTATATTCAACATACTCTACTACATGTACAGTCAGCTCCAAAAGTCGATGAACAGAATCAACTTACCAAAACACCTGTTCACAATTAAACGCCATAAGTTATAGTCGCAACTAGGAAACAAAATAGCCTGTACACCAGAAATTTACAAAAGTCGTTACACACGACTAATTCAAAAGTATCTGTGCACTAGTATTCCTAAAGTCGCTGTACACCTTCAATCCAAATGTCGCTGAACATCATTATATCAGAAGTCACTAAACAGCGGTAAAGACAAAATTAGGTTAACAAAGTATATGTCGGCGTACTGGCCATCAGTGCATGTAAAACCTCTTTGTTATACGTCGATGTCAAACTTCACTGTCAACTGTCATAATTATTTCAAGTCCATAGCGAACACAGAACTCTGGTGAGGCGGCCTTCTTGTAAAACAGGACAATTAGTGTTGGACCTTCGTAGAATACGCACGCGGCCACGTGTTCGGTGGACGTTAAGTTCAAATTCAACCTAATCTTAATTATCCTTAGTTAGATTGTAATTGTTGTCATTGTAATATCAAGAGTTGTAAGAAGAGTGATTATAGCAACAGTTATTTAATTTAAATACTGTCTTCCTGCCCAAGCGGGGCACACTTCCACCGTATATTCTACCATGTCCTCCGGGATCTGTGCTAGGTGACACCCGAACGTTTCCTCCGAACAAAATAAGAAAGAAAACAGCGTTTTTCAGCGTCGGTGATTGTCGTAGTTGGGTTTTAGTTTTTATACTTTTTATTATTTGTACTATTTTGGTGTTAAAATGTATTTGTGTCGCATAATATTAACAAAAGAATGAACTAATATTAAAGTAGTAAAAGGTATGAACGAAAAGATGTGAATTATATGCAATCAGCACATGAATACAAGCAAAGTCACCAAAAAATGCTAGTAATACATATGTATTCAAAATATACAAGTAAAGCGCTTTAAAATGATATCAAACACGGTATAATTATCTTAACTTTATTTTTTTATTCTGGTTGTTTTGTCCGCTAGAGGACGCCGCATTAAATTTTGTAATCCATCATATAACTTATAAACAGCGTACAAAAAAGACGTTTCTAATGATATATGTCGAATTCTTTAAATTTTAGCATTAAATTAAAGGAAGGTAGGTTTTGTAAGATTTTCGCAAAGTAAATTACAAGTACCGTCACAAAAATCACTTCGTAGATCATTAGAGTTATGTTTATGTTATTTCATAAATTATAGATTAGTATGATTACTGACAATAAAATATAATTTATTTGTAAATAAGTTTTGAAATATGTAGATACTAACGTGTTAACATACATTATTAAGGTCTAGCAAACACTGTCCCAAAAGTAGCTGAACAACATAAGCGTCAAAAGTATATTGACACGGGGCAACATTAAAAATATACTTTGTTAACCTAATTTTGTCTCTACCGCTGTTTAGTGACTTTTGATACAATGATGTTCAGCGACATTTGGATTGAAGGTGTACAGCGACTTTAGGAATACTGTAGTGCACAGATACTTTTGAAATAGTCGTGTGTAACGACTTTTGTAAATTTCTGGTGTACAGGCTATTTTGTTTCCTAGTTGCGACTATAACTTATGGCGTTTTATTGTGAACAGGTGTTTTGGTAAATTGATTCTGTTCATCGACTTTTGGAGCTGACTGTACCTAAACATTCGATTTACCCAATTTAACATAATACTTACCACTTTGAGGTCGAATAAGGCTTAAATTCTAAAAGTCTAGCTAATTAATACCTAGTTTATAAAGAGACAATAAGTAAAAGTATCAAAATTAGTACTTATATAATAAATTATATCTATATGTAAGTCAAATTTTATCTACGTTGATCCGGTTAAGTGGCGTGGCCTGATCGATATATTACAACCAATTAGTAGATTAATCCCTAGGTCCTAAAGGTGTGCCGTAGGTGATGTAATTATCTGTTTGATTGGAGCCATCCACAGAGCATCCACCTGTTCAAAGAATCACCATTTTCATAAAAGATGTTTGGTTAACGTGGAGCAAGCCAATCAGAGCGCCAAACGTCATAAGCGTGTCGTTCACGTTAACGTAGGCCAAAAACGCACTAGGCTACTCCCTTAAATGCAACTATATTGAGAGTTGTCGTGCTGAGAGTGGCGGTACGTTACTTTAATACAATATGAATTGCCATTACGCCAACATATCTGACCTGGTAGGAGAACTGCGGGAACTGCTCCTCCTGTATGCGCGCCAGACTGGAGTCGTTCTCGGGCGGCGTGAGCTCGACGGACTCGCCCGTGAACTCGGAGTCGAAGTAGCGCGTGTCGGTCTCCGACTCCACCTGCGGCTTGAAGGGCGGCGGGATCTTCTTGGCGACCAGGTCGGCCCAGTTGACGGACGCGAAGAACGGGTGGTTCATGATCTCGTGCGCGTCGTCGGGCCCCGCGCCCAGCCGGCTGGCAGGCTCCTTCGTCAGCAGCCCCGCCAGCAGCGCGCGGCATGCCGCCGACAGCGCGCGCGGGAACCGAACCTGCAACACCGACGCTGCACTCTCCGCCCATCCAGGGGGCACAGGCCTTTGCCAAACTAACAATTTAAAACGATAACGAAGTTCGATAGATCGCGATCGTGGTGAGTCAGTAAGAGTCTAACTTCCCCCCGCCCAACCCTGGGCGAGAGAAGAGAGAGTTTGTAGCGAATAAAATAGATGAACAACGTTTGCTTCTTCGCTGTCAGAATCGTTCGTTGTCTCTAAGAAACACGAAATATATGTACATATATGAAATTATGCACTTTTGTGCGAATTTCAACTGCAAAAAGGTAAGTAGAAAAAAATGTGTGTTGTGGACGTGTGTCGTATCATCGTTGAGTTTTAACCTTTGTCTATGATATAAAAGTGAATCGTAAAATGTGTTGGTAAGCGCATAACTCAACAACGCCTGGATCAATTTGGCCAATTCTTTTTTTAAGATGTTCGTTGAAGTCCAAGGATGGTTTTTACGGCGAGAAAAAAACTAATAATTGCCAGTAAAACCCTAAAAACAGTCCTTTTCTTTTTCACATACAAAAGTTTTCTAACTAAAACGTAGAATCAATTTGAGCTTTATTGCTATTATATAAAGTACATATTAACTAACAAGCACTCACTTTTATCTAAGAAATGTTGATGTGTTCCCAACGTCAAAAACTAAATTTGCACTTTCTTACCGCTTTATAAAGTTCAAATTCAATCATTTCTAACAAAACAGTGTGTGTAATATAAATATATCAAAATAATTAAATAACACATGTTATAGTATTTTATTTGACCAGGGTGACGGTTATGTTCGGGATAATTTTTTTGCAAAGAATGTAAAATAGGTAGGAACAAAACACTGCCACATTACAAATTTTTCAGACAAGACGAAGTCTGTCGGGTCAGCTGGTCTTATATATAAAAATGGATCACAGAATGTGTTGGTAAGACACATCATTCATCATTGATGGGACACATCCGTAAATTAGGTTCATATCGATAATTTTTCATCATCATCGTTCAGAAAATTGATTTCGGACGATTTTTTATGTATAATTCATAAATAATTCATAAATAATGTTTATCCAAGATTGAATAGAGACATCAACATTTTAACCCCACACAGCGTGCATCCGTCTGTAGCGGTGCCAGGTGGGGTACGTGTGAGGCCACCCGCTTTGGCAATCACCATTTTTATTTTATAATGTTGTAAATGATTTCTAACCGAGTTCCAAAAAGGAGAGTGGCTCTCAATTCAGCCGTACATGTTGTTTTTGTTTGTTGGTCTCCGTTATTTATGAACTGATTTTAATAATTCTATTTTTTGGAAAGAAGATTGTCCCAGAATTGTCCCACAATATCTAATAGAAAATCAGGACCCGATGAAGACCAGAAAGGAACTTTCAAAACTTGTAGGGGCGAGTAGTGCTTATATATGTTCAAATCGAAATCTTTAATAATAACTTGACCATCTCCAAAAAACGTTGAATCTTGAAAAATTTAGAATATTTTTATATTACTTACACGAATAAAATAAATAACATCGATATATTGAGATACCCAGCCCTATCTGAGTAGCAAAATAGTAATGTCTTTTGCTGCACGTGCATACAAATATGACATCTATTTCAAAGGAATTAGCGTTTTGAATAGAATGAATTTGTTACAGCGCCATCTAGCATTGAGTGGCTGAAATCGTTGTACATTGTTTTATTCAAGTTTTTTACACGATAGCCTTTATTGCCTTTATTGATTGTGACATGTGAAATGAAAACAACTTTTGCTCATTGTTAAAAGACTCAATTTTTAACAAAATTTTGAAGCTGATTTGCGAAAGTTGCGTTTCAACTTTTTACCCAATTATAAAGCTGTTTTTTATGTGTGTAATGGGCAATTTGGTTTGCGAATGTGTGAGTTTGGCGACACTGGTTTTCCTTTTGAAAGAGTGTAGGGGCACTTCTACCTTATTTTCTGATGATGACGATGACGAATTTAGATATCGTTTCGCTACGAAGCGAAGTTAGTTCGTGTAAAGAGGCTGGCTGGGCAGTAGAGTACTGACCTCCTCGCTGAGGATGAGTGAGAACAGCACGTCGTGGTCGCGGTTGTAGAACGGAAGGCGGCCGCACGCCATCTCGTACATCACCACGCCCGTACCCCACCTGCGGACATGGCACGGTCAGTGGGGGGCGAAGCCCGGGGGCAGGCCCGGGGGCGGGCGCGGCACCTACCAGTCCACGGCGGGCCCGTAGTCCGTGTCCTCCAGCACCTCGGGGGCCAGGTACTCAGGCGTGCCGCAGAAGGTCTTCGTGGTCCGCCCGTACGTTATGTTCACCTGCAACACGTGAGCCATGTAGCGGGGGCGGGGCGAGGGCGGGACGGGTCGGGTCGGGGCGACTGACCTTGCAGAGGCCGAAATCTGCGATCTTGATGTGTCCGTCCTTGTCCAGCAACAAGTTCTCGAGCTTGAGGTCGCGGTAGATGATGCCCTCTGCGTGCAGGTACCCGAGCGCGGAGACTATCTCTGCGCCGTAGAAGCGCGTGCGGTCCTCGGAGAAGGATCGCTCGCGCGACAGGTGGAAGAACAGCTCGCCGCCGTTGGCGTACTCCATCACGAAGCACACGCGGTCCGCCGTCTGGAACGAGTAGCGCAGGGCCTGCGCCGCGCCGCGCAATCTTACTCATGCATCGGGCTACCACTACTTGCTGGAAGGCTAATTCAAATACTGGACAGTGGGTACCTCTACCCGTTTCTTCTTATTTATAAAGTTACATTTGTATTTTTTTTAACTTTTTTATTTATTCATTTATAAGCTTCAAGCACAAAATGGGGACAACATGGGCATTCTCTAACAGCCAAACGTTTGGGTGATGCACAAAACAAGCGTAATCTGAAACATTATCCATAGACTTACGTAAATATCTTTAAAAAGTATTTATACAAAAATATGTTATTTGATGTCATGATCGCGATGACTCTGCTAACATCTTCAAAAGCTCCCTTATCTTTCGTTTTAACGTCGAACGACTAGACACCATCCTGACATCAAAGGGGCAGCGCATTCCACAGAATAATAGATTGAACAAAAAGAAGAGTGAAGAAATTTAATGTGATGAGTAAGACACGGGGGGAGGCCGTTGTTAGAAGAACGAAGATATTTGCTGTGGTCTGCGCATATGTACTGGAAGTAAGAGGATAGATAGGTTGGCGACGAAGGAGAAACAAGAAAGGAGAGTGGTTAGCGCCTTTTGGTCCCTGCGCTGGCACATAGGGAAATATTTACAGGTTGAATGCAGTGATTCAAAAGTCCATCAAGTTTATTCAGGATATCAAAATCGATCATTTTAACACAATCGATTATGGAAAACAAGGCCTGCACCAGCTTTGACTTGGTGATGGCCGGAAGCAAGTTTTTGACGCGATATAGAGCCCACAACGAAGCGGTCATTGCACACACTGGTGAGCTGTGCATGCCAGTTTAAATTGCTATCGATAAGTAAGCCGAGATCCTTGGCGTCACTATAGTATGGAATGATCGCACCTTCGAAAAGAGTGCGCCGCCAACCTTACTCGAGAGGAACACTTGTTGCCGTTAACCGCAATAAATCTTGCTGGCCAGTTGTTAATGGCAGATAAGCCATCATTATAAGTTTGAAATCGGCAATCCGCTTTGAGCAAGCGTGGTGATTAATGCTCAAACCTTCTCCGTGTCAGGTGGGGCCTTTGCTCAGCAGTGGGCATTTTATAGGATGATTATGTAAATTCATTATTAATTTTCAGCAGATTGTCAAAGCCAGCCCGACATTACAGCTGCAAATCGTCGGCATACAGATGGTACGCTCACTGAAGATCACTAGTAATAGAATTAATAAAGATAGATTATAAAAAAGTGATAGTATGTCGCCTTGAGGAACGTTGGAATTGTTTTTTAAATTTTAATTAAAATTATAATATTTTTTGCTATTATAATTTTAAATGTGTATTTTTCACTTTGTTCACTTAACTAAAATAATTAGTTGGTATATTTTTCGTCTTCAATCAATCACTTATTAAAATGCGCTAGCTGAAATATCATTGATCTAGACTAGCTTATATGCATCACACGTGATGTTGCGACAGGTGCCTCGATGGAGGCTCGATGATCATACCGTGAGAAAAGGGTGCTTAGTCTTCTTGAGCACGCGGTTCTCGGTGATGGTATGCGCCACTTCATCTTTCTGGATGATGAGGTTCTTCTTCAGGATCTTCATGGCGTACAACTTGCCCGTGCCCTTCTCGCGACTCAGCACCACCTTACCGAAGGTGCCCTTGCCTAGCACCTTGACGAATTCGAATTTCTCAAGCGTCTACAGGAAAAAAGAAAACAATGAATAAACAGCTGGCCCCGCGGACAGAAGGCGCAGAGAGTAGATGCGGCAAGAGACGTACAATGCGGCGCGGGTCGCGGAAGCTGGTGCCGAGCTGCGCCATGTCGCGGTCGTCGCCGTCGGGCGCCGCGCCGGCCGCCGCGCTCGGCCCGCCCGCGCTCAGCTGCCCCGACACGTAGCGGATGGCCGCCACCCACTCCTCGCTGCAACCACAGTGTTTGCACACAAACATGCATACTTCAATATTTCAACATTACTTAATTGTTTACATGTACTTTGTACTTTATTAGTCGCTTTCAAGGGGTTTGAAGTTGTGCCTGGTACATGCGACTCTTATATGTGCGTGCCATTATACAAACTGCTTCAGTAGGTAACTTGAGTCTAGCAACATTCATAATTAGTGTACAACTATATGGACATTCCGTATTTGGATAGATGAAACTTTTGCACCGCATTCATTATTTATTGCTCCAGATTGCTACTTACAACAACACATACCACTTTTTGGCACAGGAGGCCTATGTTGTCCTCAAAATTACAGTGGAAAACAAAATTATGATACATTTTTGTCTAGTGCATCCATCACGTAAAGATTTTTAGAGCAAAAAAATTCAAAATTTTACTTTTCTATCTATTAAGTACTTTTCTATGAAGTTTAAGCTAGGTATGTTGTGAATAGGTTTCTTGAGTCATCTGTATAAATATTTTTTTATGTTTGTTACCTGACAAATATCTTCAGATAAAATATTATGTTATGCATGAATTTTGATAATTCACTTTCTATACAGTGCCTCAACCCCATAACAGCTATCAGTGAATGAGCAAAGAAAGGGTAGTTTTTGTTTTTTATTATTCTCTCTGCTGATGTGTCTGCTATACAAACATACAATTTCACATACACTATGCTATGTTTTTATTTTAAGCCCCAAATAAGTATTTGTATGAGATAATTGATAAAAAGTCAGATATTAGCTTGCTTACAATTTTGTGAAAACATATTAATGTTAGTAAGTTGCGTTTTCATAGAGCAATGTGTTTAAAAAATGGGCAGGACTGAATATTGACTACTAAGTATGTCATGTCTGTTTCTTATATTATTTAGCAGCTGAAATATTATTTCTAAACCTTTCACCTAGCGTGTGTAACATTTGGTGCTCACCAACTTACCAAGTTTCACAAAGCGGACCATAAATATTATTATACATATGCATTATAATACCTGCATGAGCTAAAACAAATTCCTTATTGTGTTCATGTAATCAGTATAATTGTTATAGAATATTAGCTCCCTTTCACTACCATCATATGAGTTCCCGGTAAATGTGTGAGTCGCACATAGTTCACAAATTACATTCCATATCCAAATTTGTTTGGTACTTAGAAACTATTCAGAAAATTAATTCTTTATTGAGAAACGGACCCTTACATTATTCTAATAAGTAATGAAATTAGTTATATTGTGAGATTGGCATATTTTCATATATGACTTCATCAAAACCACTGAAACAGGAAAACATATGGATAACATGAGCATCCTCCTCCCAAACATTATTTCCTTATGACATTGTGTGGATCGGGCAAATCCCATCTACCTTATGTACCTAGTCATGGCTAATCTGGTCAGTTGCTACTCTACAATGACCTGGTCTTTCAGCACCACATACCGCTCTTTCTCTGTATCCACTGAGAAGTTGCGCTCGATGACGGTAGTCCACTGCAAGCCGCGGATGGTGAAGGTGTAGGGGCGCGGCTTGTCCACGGCCATTATCTGGCAGTCCCGTACCGTGAACTTGTTCAGAGGATCGCGGTAGTTATTACGTTCTGGCTGCGTCTTGAATCCCACTAGATCACCATTGTCAAACAGTATGAAGTAGCGGTCACGCCAGTTGCGGATATGTTCGCCCCGCTTCTGCAGCCAGCCCTCCTTCACAATATTGCCAGGCGCCGCCTCCGCCATGGTCTCGCGGTCGCGGCCTCGACCAGTGCTGTTTGATAACAAACTACGGCAACCGCAAGCTCGTGCTCGGCACACCACGTTTTACACTCTCCTTACACGGCGCGTGTTTCACCTGGATTGAATCACTACGGGCACACTGCCACCAAACATTTTCTCGTTTGATTTTACGCTAATGAACAGATTCCAGCGTTTTTCTTCTCAAAAAACACGAACGTAAAGCAACGTTACTACGTAGGTACGTAGCCTCGCGGTATAAACAAGGAATTAAAAATTTTGCTGTCTGACAGCGGAAAAAAGAGAGGGAAAATCCACTAATACATCAAGAAAAACGAGAGGGTAGATATTATGCTACATTCTTTCCTATTTGGTAGCATTATAACCTATTTTGACAAATTAGTACATTATGTCTGCCACTAGGGGAATAATTGGCGCTGTTACTTTTTTTTAATACGTTTTGCACTTTCCTATCCTTGGTTCAAATTACTCAGAAAAAGAATAAAGTGTTCTGCAAACACTTGTGAAAATTAACTTCTGCGTAGTTAAAAATAATAAGATTTTTTTTATAATGGTTTATAAGTTACATACAGCTTTATCCAAAATTAAAAAGGAAGTGTCCATAAAAAAAAAATAGTTTAACGGAATAAGTATCTAAAATGCTGGCAGCGTTTCCAAGTTGTATGGTAATGCTGAATTACTGTCCGGAAAACAGACCAGCCACAAGATGCGACGGTCATTGTGTTATAAATATAAAATATACTATAGCATTCAGATCTTCGATGTAAGAACAGCAATAATAATAATACAATACCCGTACAACTTTACGTTTAGTTAAGTGGTGACTAACTCAACTAATAATAAACGAAATTAATGTAATCTTAAGAAAATAACAATAATAAATATTCCTTTTTTTACTATTAAAACCATGATAAAAGTGATGACTTCTTTTTTCCATTTGGTTATATTATCTGTGCACATTGGGTTGCGAGCTGTGTGTCAGCCGCCATTTTAGTTTTTAATATTTTTTTATACCGTGTGAATGGATAGACGTCGGACGTATCAGTATATATTGTATAGTCTATGGGACGTATAAAAGCACGGTCACGGAGGTATTTAAAAGTATAAAGTTGTCATGATATACGAACTAGTTGTTACTTACTTGTACCTCATTCTGTGTTCAGAAAAATTATAACATTTGAGTAGTGATCAACAAACAAGCTAGCTTGCGATCCGAATCATATACGGACTTGTGGCAGTTAGTCCGTATATCCATCGGACTCTTTCAGTCTTTCTAAGGAAATTGGATGGCGTTCATCGAATCTATTGCATAAATATAAAGATAGAAATACGATATAGTCCACGGCTAACTCGGACCATAGGTACTTTTACAGGATTGGATTGGATCGTATCTACGTAATGCGAAACCGTTCCAAATATTTCCTATGAATCCTCTAAGAATTATAGGAAATATTTAATTAAAAATGTCAAAAAATGAACAAATTTAACTTAGCCATTGCGTAAAGACGTAGCCTAGGTTTTTCGGTTTTTGTGTGTCATGTGCATTGAAAATGCACGACAGGAGAAAATCTGAATGTCTATCTGGGATATCAAAGAATCATAGATTGTATCTTACATCTAAATACACAACACAACAAAAAATAAGTTTATAAATAGATATCTAGGTACAGTTAGAGCAATACAATTTTTCGCTATCTTAAAATCGACGGCCTAAGAAACAACATTGCTACTTAGGTATACATGTCATATAATTTTTAAGAAATTCTATAAATTTTAAACGCTGAGAGCTAGGCGCTATAATTTGTTTTTTATATTTATGTTTCGATAGGCCGAATGTATCGATGTCACTAAAATGGTTATTGTAAGCCTTAACTAGCCTATGCAGCAGCGCTCTCTCTCCCAATGTAGATAGATACTTAGTCTTTTTAAATTATTTAATGGATTTAATCTGACAAAAACCATCATCATCAGCCTGTAAGTGCCCACTGCTGAGCAAAGGCCTCTTCTCACACGGAGAAGATTTGAGCTTAAATCACCACGCTTGCTCAATGCGGGTTGGCGATTTCAAATTTATAATTTCAGGTTTCGTCACGATGTTTACCTTCACCGTATGTCATACTTACACATATACATACATCTCGTACCTTACACCTACAACTCGTCAAAAGTCGTACATGACAAGCGGGCGCTTTAAACTCGGGGCCACCTCGACTTTATGACATGACTGAAATTCAGTAACGACGATGACGGCGCTTTTTTATCTTAATAGTAGGTAAAGGATTTACACAATAACATAATACTCAATATCTTTCAAAGTGTAAATTGTTACAATGAAATTCAGAACGAAAAATCTAAACTTATACTTATTAAACGCGAATTGTGTAGACATACATACTACAAACTTTCAGATTATATTGAGGATAAGAATGGCTGGCAGCGTGTTGGTTCAGCTCCACTGGACAATATCCAAGATCTGTCAGTAGTTACTCAAATTCTCAAAAACATATAGAAGCTTTCTTTAGGATTGACAGTACCTACGCAAATGTGAGCGCCATGTTTGAGACGGATCTAAAATTGAATGTTCAAGTCTTTTCAAAGTTAAAATCATTTATTTCAATTAGATCCATCATACAGGCACTTTTGAACGTCAAACTTAATTTAAAAGATATAAAGTGTCGGTCTGTCGGTCAGTCTTCTAGTGAACCTATGGTGTTTTTTTATGTAATAGATCGGCAAACGAGTAGACTTTCGTTTTTTTTTCTTTTTTAATACTTTATATGTTATTCTTGTTTTGTTTATTAATTTATTATTGTATTCATAAATACTGTGTTCTTATTATGTATTTTATATACTTGTATTTGTGTGCCTATTTGTCGAATAAATGTGTTTTCTTTCTTTCTAGACGGTTTACCTGATGGTAAGTAATCAGCGCCGCATATGAACACCCGGAACGGAGAAGTTACGAGTGCGTTGCCGACCTTTTAGGGATTAGGGATTTGGAGATTTAGGGATTGAGGGTGGGGAAGGATCGGGCCTCCGGTAACCTCACTCACACGGCGAAACAACGCTGTGGTTGTTTCACGCCGGTTTTATGTGAGGACGTGGTATCACTCCGGTCGAGCCGACCCATTCCTGCCGAAGCATGGCTCTCCCACACTTAGCACTTCACTTCTGATGAATGATCGAATTCCTAAAAAGAGGATATTCTCAATTCGACCGTATACATACTATACTATACTATACTATACTATATATTCATTCGCATTAAAACAATACATGGTAAGTATAAAGGTGTTACAAGAAATAATAATAAGTACAATCATGTTTTAGCTACATCGTAAATAGCATGCAAATATTCAATTATATTTAGTGAGTCTGGGTGCATCACTTAGGACCAGTCTGTCCGGATATCGTCGGCTACGTGGATATATGTCTTTTGCAGTTTTAAATAATTCTATGTTCTTATGTACAAAATTGCAAGTTTCAAATATATAGAGTAATGGTAAAGGTAGTAATCCAAGTTTTCTAAAAATGGGTTGACAAGAATCGTCATTTTGTAGGCCATATATTGCTCTGATACATTTTTTCTGCACGATAAAAGCTCTATGTAGGTATGTCTGTGCTATTACCCCACATTAATAGTCCGTAGCGCAATAACGATTCTACATATGCACGGTAAGATATTACTGCTGTGTTAGTATTTATAATATTTTTTATTTGTCTTAGAGCATATACGAATTTATGGTACGAATCTACAACTTGCCGATGGTCGAACTTGACCTGATAATGGAGCCGGAAGTCAGTCGAAGGATCTCCTTGACTATTTGGAGTACCTAGTTGCGTTGTGTTTGGGCTTGAATAATTCGTATTGGTGAGCACTTTGCACCAAGATTGGTAGTGACTGTCATTTGAGGTCTGATCTCCGTATATGACTATTAAGTTCAAAAGTATCTACCTATTTATGGTTTGGTTTAAATAAATGATTTTGACTTTGACTTTGAACAGACTGATAACTTGATGGTAAGCGATCAGCATTGCCCTCCAAGTCAAACTCAAGTTTCAATGATTTATTGTAACTAAACCATAAACAGGTATCTACCAACTTTTGTTACGTAAAACCAAATAGTTTATCAGCCAGTCCCTTCGTCAGTGAAGCTATGTAAGTACATAGGTTAGTGTTGCCAGGTAGTAAGTTATGAATCAGGGACAAAACAAATTAAACCTATATTTTTTAAAGGATTTATGTTTGATATTTGGATTCTTTTTTTCCAAAACATCTCGTTACATCTTGCAAATATTTATTTGAGGAACAATGTATCCAAAACGGAAGTCGAGCTTTTGGCGTTTAATGTAAACACTCCCGTCCCGAACACGCTCACCGGCAAGCGTTTTCACACATTTGTGATTCATTACTAATTTAATTTGTTAAAAATAGTACAGTTTCAAAAATCCGGGACAATAAGCACTTATTACTGGACACTGAACATGAGGTAAAATTCCGGGGCAATCCCAGATTTCCCGGCGGTCTGGCAAGGATAACATAGGTGCTCATTCTAAGGTATACATTCGAACGGCGAAAAATGTACAAGAAACTACATCGATAGTCTTTAAAAAAATATATGTTTTACAAGTTCCCCGATACCTTATTTAACATACTTTCCCCCTGTCCTTGTCCCCTTTCAGTATTTAAATGAAATTCCACATTTCTTAAATCCTTACTAATATTAAAATATGGAAAAGTTAATTTTGTTCGTTCAAGGTTTATAGTTTTTAGTTTGCTCATGTTTTCACAATGCCTGGCAAAATTGAATCTTAATTGTCGAAAGCTTACATTACATCGCCAGAGAGCTAGATTATATGCTCTATACTGCAACTGCATGTAAATGATATGATCCCACAAATGTTCCCGGAGCAAAAAACTGTACCTACCTTCGTTTTTTTATAGTTGTGCTTTACACTACAGCTCAATACAACCGAATTCCACGCGGGCGAAGCCTCGGTCGAAAGTTAGTGGAATATAAATAAGAAAAACCTAATTAGGGGAACTTTATAAATGCAAAAATATATATGCAATACAACCCAAAACAATGATTTTTAGAATTTTTGTCTGTTTGTCTGTACGTTTGTTCGGGCTAAACTCAAAAACGTCGTGGTTTGCTAGGATTAACATTTAGCCTTTGTTTTGTTTAAATCGGTTCATAAATAAAAAAGTTATGTCAATCTTAGGAATCGCATCATCACATGTAACACAAACTAAAATGCCACAATATTGTATTCATCATTGTCGTAATAAATAGTTTCATATTCAAGTCTGTTTTACACTTACTAATTAGGTACTTTTTGGATAACTTTGCCCTCCAGGCAGCTATAGATACTTCGTACAGTTTGTGTTCCTGATGATAAAAGTGTTAGGTTGTCGATGCGATTGAAATAATTAATATTGTTAATGGGTCAATACTTAGGTTAAGCCAAAAACAAATAGAAGTATTTAAATATTTCCATTATTAAGAGATTTTATTACAGTGTTTTGGTTACTTTAGTCTTTTTTTCTTTGTTTTGCTGTGTATTTTCCTTTGTGTTAGCATCTACCTACGCCTAGCTAAGTAGTAGGAATTTTAATAAAGTACGTACGTAAGGTAAAATATTAGTTGAACGTTCATTTCATTAATTGCATTTTCTTAGTAAAATAATTAAACAGTAAGAATAGTACTATGTAATGCTAAAAGTAACGGATTTGGAATTAACAGTTAGCTGTTTTACGCTTCAGACAGCTTTGTTGCGCTTGTACGATCCCAGAAACTTATAGATATCATTTGATTCCAGAAGGCAATACAACTAATGTTAAGTTTAGAGAAGCATTGTTGTAATTTTTATCCTTATTAATAATATCCACTTCCATACCTATAACCAAGCGGACGAAGTCGCGGGCATAAATAGCTAATTTTATATTTCACTAGCTACTCTCGCGCGGTTTCACCCGCTGCTCGGCTCCATTTCATCGTAGCGTGATGTTTTATAGCCTTTAGCACTCAGGAACATTATACCTAACTACCAGTGTAAGAACTTTGGCAATCCGACCAGCAGTTCCAAAGATTACACATACAAATTTTATCTCTTTATAATATTAGTATAGAATTAGATTATAAGTAATAGAAGAAGGTTGCCAGGAACTTAGTTTTAGTGGTGCGCTGAAAATCAATAATTCATCGGTTTTTGAGTTGTTTCAATGTGTTGCCGTAAGCTTTCCTTAAAATTCTGTCTCTCCTTCACACCTAAACTAATGAACCGATAAGATTTAGTACAGACATAGACATAGTTTGAAACTCAAGGAAGGTCATAGGATAGTTTTTATCTCGGGAATTCTATGAGATTGGGAACTATGAGGGTAAAACCAAATATCTCAGAAAGGTCACTAGTCGACGAAATCGCGGGCACAAGCTAGTTTAATAATATTTTTAATATTAATTAATTTAATATGTACAATTACGGGAAACTTCATTGATACAAGTGGCTGTAGAGGATGTTATCCTAGTCGACTTTAGGAACATTTTTTTAAGAAAATTAATTAATCACACAATTTTAATAGCCCCGCCACTTTGTATTGGTTTCCAATCGCATACAAACAAGTACATATTGATTTATGGCTATTGGCTAGAACAAACCTTCCTTACAACATTTCAATTGAAGATTCTAATAATGAGGTGGTCTACTACAATCTTCAATATGTCTATCCAGCTCCACACAGGACAACTCAACAGTGTGTTCTAATGACAGCACTACACTATCTTTCCTTCCGCTTACAGCAATCCGCCTTAAACAAGCGTGGTGATTAATGGTCAAGTCTTCTCCGTGTGAGAAGAGGCCTTTGCTTACAGTGGCAATACATACATATAAATAGGTCCTTTTTCATCTAATGTTCCACTTGTACTTTTTTCAAAGAACGTTTCTGTTTTTAATATTTAGAGAAGCAGCCCTGGGCATTAACATGAAATAACAGTAGATTGTGCTGCTCCTAAGCCTGAGTAACTCTATTGAATCAGACGCCATTCCGTGGCTGTGCTACTAATATTATTTTTGGGGGGATTTTTGTGTGGTAGGACGGCAAGCGAGCTGATGCATTACGCAATGGTAAGCAATCGGCGCTACCCATGGGCAACACCAAAGGAGCGCGTTACAAGTGCGTTGCCGGCTTTTTAGGGGTAAGGGTTTCGGACATTTAAGGATTGAGCAGCGATGGGGGGAGGGTGAGGATTGGGCCTCCGGTAACCTCACTCATACGACAAAACACAACGCTGTGGTTATTTCACGCCAGTTTTCTGTAAGGTCGTGGTATCACTCCGGTCGAGTCGACCCATTCGTGACCTAGAAAGTGTATTATGAGTCAAAAAAGTCACATGTGGGTACTTGCTGGACTTCGAACCCACACCCTTATGCTGATGAGACGGGGTTGCCTTAGGGACAACTACGACGACAATTACGATCGGTACCAATTACCGATAACAAGTACCTGATATTTGTTGGTGCAATGTGCAATTGTGCGCGTAACATGGCAGTTGTGTCAGCCACAAACAGGGATGCCATTTGCGGCTGACAGCTATACTATCTTATTGATCAGCGCTTGAGAATTAATTGGATTTATTTGTCACGTCTTTATGGCAAGCGCAAGAATCATAGAAGGTTCGCTTTCCTACAGCAGTACCGCCATCCATCATCAGGCCTTCGAGTCCACGGCCCTACTTACTCGATGGAGTTGCCGTTTGATCCCGGAGTTTGTATAGCAGAATACGAGCACTCAGTCAATGTGCGTTTCATTGTTTCATTGTTACCTCGTAACTTATTCGCAGTGACGATGACGCATGCAAGTTCTTATGTTTTATGTAATTGTTGGCCGATACCAAAATAGAGCGCGATTACGTAAAGTACTACTAGAATCAGTCGGGAAGCTGCCTTCGGTGACACTTGAACTTTGGGCCGGGGCCGGGGGTGGCGGTGGCGCGGTGACGTGGGAGGCGCTGCGCGGCTGCGCGGTGCGCGATGGTGCGCGCGGCGCGGGTCGATGCGACGGCCTCGGCTCAGTCGGCCGCCAGCCGCCAGCGCCCAGCAGCGCACCGAGCGCAGCCCCGCTCGCCGCCGCGATCCGAGCCGCGACTGTCCGAGTGTTGCGATGAAGGTATAGAAGCCCCCCATCCGTAGCGCGGTAGTGTATGCCTTAGCTGTAAGTAGCGGCGCCAAGGCTCGGTACGTGTAAGCTAGCGGCCGGGGAGCGCCGCGCCCTGCCACCACCTCGCCGCGCGCCTCTCCCCGACACACGAACGGCTCCATTACCATGTATTCGACACACCACTCACCCGCACGCCCCGACATCGTAATGAATATATCCTCATCACTATAATTATATAATGCAGTATAATCCAATACATTATACCATATACTCATTAGATACAATCAAATTAATTTTCAATGTACTGCTTTGTTAAGTCCCATACTGGTTGTGAGAGTATCTCCCAAACAAGAAATCTTGGGTTCGATTCCCATATCTTTAGAAATAATATTCAACTCAATATATATACCTAGATATATATGTATCTATTGATCAAAATTGCATATTATATACACATATATACCTAAAGTACATATATAATACACTACATACGATTAGAAAAATAGTAACGTTACCACTAAAGCCTCTAGTTTTTTGGTCCCAATCACGACTGCTGAGCTGCACTTTATACCTACTTAATATAGGTATACTAAGGCTAAGCTATACTAAGGGAGATGAAATTGCTTCTACATGACTTACGGCATAGTGAGCAATTTCATCTCCCTTTTAAACATATCTGGGAAAAACAACGAGTCCCTGTGTACGTAGGTACACTGTAGCTTGTAATTTCTACTTATTACTCTTTGTCCTTCCAGTCAGTATAGTTATAGATATATGGGTCGGGAAGAGTTGTACCTATAGTGAAATGTAAGTTGTGATTAATTTGTTTCAGCAACACGAAGCATCAATAACAAAATCGTATAATGCTAAAACTACCCAAAGGTCTTAAAAAGAAGAAAAAGGGGAAAAAATCCAAACGTAAAGGTGAAGAAGAGCTTTTTACTGAAGAAGAATTAGAAAAGTATAGAAGAGAGCATCAGCAGCAAAGTACTGACAGTGGCGAAGGTACTACCAAAGAAAATGAGGAATGGTCTAAATTCAAAGACTTAACTACGGGCATAGATACTGTGCTAAAAAAAACACAAGGTGACCTAGACCGCATCAAATCGACTTCGTTTTTTCAACGCATACCTCCAAAACAGGCTGAGCCCGAAAAAAAGGTACCACCACCTAGGCCTGTTGTTGAGGTTACTGAAGCTGATTTTCCACAGCTTATTCAAGCTCAAACAGATGCTGACGAAGATCGCAGTGAGTACGGCGTGACTGACGACGAGTCCGAAGAAGAAGAGCAGGACGATATCTTCGATACCTCGTATGTGGAGGCTGTTGAACGGGGGGAAGTAAAACTCGGGTACGTGCCTGACTCACCCGAAGAATTTCAGGATGACGATATCTTTGATACATCCCACGTCGATGCTTTAATAAAAGGTCAAGAAGCCAAAACCTCTAAAGGAAAAAAATCGTTAGACATTGGAATAGCTGTTGGTGTTCTTACTGGCCGAATAGATAATGTAACGGTTACTAGTAAACGTTCTAAAAGAGTAATTCCTGGTGACTTATTATTGGATAATACTGACACAAATGACGGGAGACCAAGTGAAACAATAACTGTAGACGAGTCCATTGAGAAAAGTATATTGGACCTTGATACGGACGTCCCTATAACGACACCAATAGACTTAAGCGTATCACTTCACACGTCTTTGATTCAACAAACGAAAGGTGATACAGAAAAGGCGAATGATTTTTTCTCTGCCGATCAGACGCAAGCCGATGAAGAGATTGATGAATTTACATTACTTGCCGCAAAGTCACTTGAAGTCAACTCGGATGTTGCAAAACTAGGAGAAACCGAAATAAAGGCGGAACCTGTCTTACAAGAGTCATGGTCAGCTTTTGAAGCTGATAAGAATGAATTTGTGTTTGCTGAAAGTATCATTGAAGATCAAATAGATGTGCTTGATCCTTATTTAGATCAAGACGATCCGTTTGACACTAGTTTTGCGGACGCTGTTATACCCGTTAACCAGTTTCAAGCGAATAGAGAAGCAGTAATTCTTGAAGACGACGACGATTTTGACCCACGATCTGATGAAAATCGAGTAAAATTAAATAATAGGCGAAAGTCTTCAGTTCGTATTCATTTAACCGATCCCTCAGGAGTACGAGAATCCATTACGTCTGACGATATTATTGACAAAGAAGATAGTCATTCAGTCCGGGATTTGTTGGGAGGCAGTACCACAGATTTAACTCAGCTAGGAGACTCGCCTCTAGATCCAGTGGATATCAATAACTGTGAGATCGACCCATTTGATACTACTATTGTTGATAGCATTGTTGCTCCCGGTAAGGTAGAATTAAAACTTTTAGAACAAGAATTAATAACTTCAAGCTCTTCTACAATATATAGAGTTCCAAGTGATCCCGATTTTGATCCGAGAGCGGACGAACCAAAAAAAGCTGAGCGCCGAGCTTCTCGCCCTGAGAACTTAACGGTTAGTAAGAGTGTTGTCTTTAACGTTGACTCAGAAGAATCTTTAGGCGTTGACACAAAAGTTAAGTCAAATAAACCAGTCACACCTTACTATACTCGCGAGCTTTCAATCACTGAAGACGCCAGCGAAGAAGCAGAAGCTGCCGACATTGTGCCTGACACGTTGACACGCACGCGGTCTGACGAAGACTTGACACCGAAGGTTAACTATCAAAATAAAAGAAGGCATTCAGAATATTCTCGGACAGGTGACATAAAACCTAGTGATCTATTCAACAGTGCTGAAGTTGAAGTAAAAACTAAAGTACTAACACCTTCAGAGCCACTTCGACCTTCGACGATAATTGATCCTTTCGACACTTCTTTTGCAAGCAATATCGTCCCTTGCAAAACTGAATTAAAACTTTTGGCCAAGGAATTTTCTTGCGAGGAAGAAGATAACTCACAAGACACCAAGCACGATTTATTGGATCCATCCGACGATATATTTCAAGCAAAAGCTCTGACTCCAGAACCTTCGGGCTCTAAATTGACAAATACAAACTTTGATCCATTTGACACATCTTTTGCTGGTGATCTGAACCCGGGTAAAACAGAAATAAAACTTTTAGAATCAGAGTTTTTAGATAATTAAACTTTAATTAAAATGGCCTACAATCCATTCTTAAGTATGAACGAGGCGAGTGCTCCAGTCACTACGGATGTTCTTAATCCCTTTATGATAGCCGATACGGAACCTGATGCAGTGACTTCTGAAAATCCCTTCGCTACGAGTAATCCTTTTTCTGATTTCGGTAGTGGATATGAACCACCTGCCGGAGATACTGTACCCGTAGATATCTTTAGCGGCATAGAACCGGCTGGCATTGGAGCCAAGCAATACGAAGAATTTTCAGAAAAAAAATCTACACCACTGGATATATTCACCAGCAGTCCAGTGGATCAAGACCGGCTAGTCAAACCAACTGAACTCGACTTAGTTGTTGCTACGGACGACCATCCATTTTCAAACGAAGAAGAAGATCAAAGTCATCATTTGCCGGCCCGACCTTTGCCACCTGAAACTCAAAATTTAATCTTAACTGTGACTGGTCAAATGGAATTTACAAGTTCACATCTTTTGGACCGCATCCCCCCTACACGCACTCCGAGTCCTGTGTCGGTGCGAGATATTCATTCGCCTAGCCCCACGCCAGAGCCTGAGCATTTTGAGGAGCCGATAAGCGATAACTTCGATATAAATCGCAACAAACCAACGCGGCCACCGCCGGCCCGGCCACCACCAGCGACCCGCCCGCCGCCTCCGCGGCCTCAGCCACCGCGCCCACCCACAGCTACTCCGCTGACTCAACCAGTAGCGCCACCACCCACACAACATTCAGATGACATTAATCTATTCGATGCACCCATGCCTACCACTATCAAACCTACTAAAGAGGCTATTTTGAGCTTATATACGGCACCAAAAAAAGAAGAAAAGCCAATTGATTTCTTAAGCGATGATTTATTAGATGACGTCTCCACTGATGTCAAACACGACATCTCACAACATCTCGCAGGAGAAGTGGCGACATCTGTCGGTGCTCTTTCAGGGCAAACCAGTTTCGAGCCGGAGGAACTCAAATCAGCGAGTGTGACAATAAGCAATGTGTTTTCATCTACCATAGACTCCAAAGCGGACACAGTGGCACCCATGGATTGTTCGGAGCCCCAGATAGAGGAAGCCTCTGCGACTTGTAATACTTCCCCATTTGGGGATGCTTTGAAAGACGACTTCTCAGCGCAATCAGCTAGTATAGATGTTGAACGGAATCCATTTGAGAATACCATTGATTCGGTAGACGTGGTTGCCCAGTTACCTGAAGCTGTAGATATATTTGGCGTGAAATCAGATGATGTTGTAATGACAAGTAGTAACGAAGTTTTTAATAATGCCAAAGAAAACATTTTTGAGATTTCATCTATAAGTGGGACAGGTGAAATCCCGAGTGATCCATTCCATTCGGCTACAAATGAAACGAACGTAATGGCTTTAAACCCATCTGAAGCATTGGACAGACAAGCGGAAAGTGCTTTCGACGTGAGTGGCATGTCGCCTTCAGCCACTGCTGACTGGGGAGCACCGACAGAAGTAACCATGCAGGACGTCTTCCCCAGTAGTCAGGACGCGTTTGACGCATTTTCAGCGAAGTTTGACGCCACTGCAGCAAATAACTTGAATACAGGTGAGTAGTAATACAACATTGCGTTGCCAACAGTTTGGGTCAAGTAAAAGGAATGGCTAATGGGAGTGTGATACAGGAGCTTGGGGTGACGACAGCAGCGCGGAGGCGGCGCCGAGCGGCTTCGAGGCGGAGGCCTTCGACCCGTTCCTGAGCATGGGCGCGCCGCCGCCGCCCGCTGCCACGCCGCGCCTCGACCACCAGGCCTCTCGAGACTCGGTGGACGATACCTTCTCGGTCTTCATCAGGTTAGTCAATGATCCATTTATTTTGTAGACTGGCAATTGCCATGTTTATGATTTGTTCATATTCCCCCAAATAGCTCATAGTCAGTCAGTCAGTCACCGACTCTATAAATTATTTTTAAAATACATAATTATACTTATGTAAGTACGTTTAGTAGTGGACTCTGCTTAAAAAATAGCGTGTGCAACAACAAATTAGAATTAAGGAAGCAAAACTAGTTTATCTTCGTAGAATTCATTCATTTAGAATCTTGTTAATCCAGACAAAATTAGGGTTAGGTACTGCGATAGGAAGAAAGATTGATTTTTTGTTGTTAATGTAATTGGATCTAATCCGTATTAACATAAATAAATCAATAAGCTGTAACGTCTACACAGGTCATGTGACATTTTTGTAACAAAAACTTACATTTCATTTTATATACAATTGGACATTGGTTAGAAATTTTTATTTATAAATTTATTGACATTTTCATAATTTTACCAATTATTGTTAGTGTAAGGACTGTGTGAGACTTTGCCGCGCTTTTCGATGTTAGTTATCTATGTTCTGACAGTTTAAGTATTTGCGCGAGCCACCCCAAATGTTCTTTTGATTGGTGTTGTTTTTCGGACAACTCAGCAACCAGGTGTTGCTGAGTTTAACTGGTTTTAAACTGGCACTTGCGTGCCTTTCTTTAGAACGAGCCCACTTAAACTGGTGTGGTTCTTTCCTCAAAAGACCACTACTAGAATAAACTTGCACGGTTCTCGCACATTATATAATTTTTCACATTGTCTGGACTTGACTTTTCAAGTCCAGACAATGTGAAAAATAATATAATATCCTCATAATCCTAATAATGACCTCTGAGTTTGTTTTGGCATTTCTTCTCATGGAGGTAACCTCACTCACACGGCGAAACAGAACGCTGTGGTTGTTTCACCCAGGTTTCCTGTGAAGCCGTGGTATCACCCCGGTAGAGCTGACCCACTTAAAGATACAATTTCTTGAAATGTGCTTACCTAATTCTAAGACTCATTTAGTTTAGTTGAGCTGTTAACGTTTCCTTATCTCTTCTGTACCGAACATATTTTGCCAGCAAGTGACTAGTATACAGGACCAGAAAGCTTTGCAGCAGTTTGCTTTCACTGAGGCTGAATAATAAATATTGAATTTGTTGTCCCTCACTCTAAGGAGACCTGATGTTCATATTTGCTTGCTTTTTATTAATGTAGTCTACCTACCCTATTCATGGGAGAAATTCGTAGCAATTAATAAATTTAATTCCGTCGTTTCCGAAATAACTAAGCCGAATTCACCTCGAGGATCGTCACGAACCGCCTTGAACGCAGGTTTGATAAAGTCCAGTCTCCTGAACAAGCCGCGCTCCCAAAAGGCAAGGATAAGCACCATAGACTCATAGAGCACAAACACACTTCGCCAGGTGATACATAAAACGGAGGAGAGGAGGTATAATCGTGCATTATGTCTGGCTGGCTCGAGTGGCGACCACGGAGTGGAAGACGTATTGGGGCAGACCTCCCGCTAGGTGGACCGAGGACGTCGTCAGTAGTTGTCTTCTGGATGAAAATTCACGAAGTAGACCATGAAAGTGAATGGAACCGCACAACATATGCAAGACATTTTGCATCGCCGTTTTAGTGGTTAATGTATACGGTGACATTCCGTATAGACTTATAAAAAAATAAGTGTCTGTAGTCTGTGTGGAATGTTTATAGTAATAGTGAGCATGTATCAGGCCGAAGGACAGCGAGGCGGGCGGCGAGGAGGGCGCCGTGCCGGTGCTGGCGCCGCCGCCGCGGCCGCAGGCGCTGCCCGAGTCCCCGCGCGCCAACCCCTTTGACAAAAGCGGCTTCGAGGAGCGCCGGGATCCAGTGTTCGGTACTGACTACAGTAAACTTTATTTTTCGCATAAAACTCAAAACTGCGCATTCTGTCACCTAATAGCTAGTGTGAGTGACGATTAGTTTTGCGGTGACGTAGGACGTAGCTCGCCACTATCCGCTCCTGCGTCTTATCTAAGTATTGTTTTCCGTGGTTTTGCTGCACCAACAACAAAATATTTTTATTAATTTTCATACACCGTTCTCATCCCTTTGAGTATACCTGTAGCCTAATGGTATCTATATACTTACAATATTCTTACAGTATGAATGTCCTGTTATACACTGCCTACTGTAAATATGTAGTGTCAACAACATTTGAACAATGATTCAAGAACAATGGGTAATGCAATAAATTGTGTGCAGAGCGAGGAGAGGGCGACGCGGGTAGCGAGGGTGAGGGCGAGGGCCCGCCCACTCCGCTGTTCGACGAGGACGTGTCGCAGCCACTGGAGGACTTCCCGCGCACCAAGTACACGGGCCCCGGCTGGGAGATGCACCTGCGCCAGCCCAACAAGAAGAAGATCACGGGACAGAGGTGAGGCACGCCGACACGCCGCGCTACTCATGCAAGTATTGCTACACGACGCGCTCACACCTCCCGCTTGATGACCAGGGAGAGCAAACACATACAGTCGATGATTGATATTGACAATGTAAACAGTGCTCTCTCAGAAATAGTTCACTGGTTTGGTGTGAATAACTTATTACTAAACGAAACTAAAACTAAATGTATTAAATTCACAACACCAAATGTTAAACAGGTAAAAACCAGTGTGCTTGTCAAGGACGAGGAGTTGAGTCCTGTAGATACAACTGTCTTTTTAGGTATAACCCTGGACGCTAAGCTCCAGTGGGGGCCACATATAGATGGCTTGTCGAAGAAGCTCAGTTCTGCAGCATATGCCGTTAAAAAAATTAGAAATTTAACAGATGTAGATACAGCGCGGTTAGTTTATTTTGGTTATTTTCACAGTATCATGTCATACGGTATTTTGTTGTGGGGGAATGCTGCTGACATCCCGTCTATTTTTGTTCTGCAGAAAAGGGCTATTCGATCAATCTATAATCTTAGTCCGAGGCATTCGCTCAGAGAATTATTTAAGGAATCTAAAATAATGACAGTTGCCTCTCAATATATTTATGAAAATGTAATTCACGCTCATAAAAACAAAAGCTTATTTAAGAAATATAGTGATATACATAATATCAACACGAGGGGGAAAAACAAATATGTTGTGCCTGCCTCCAGGCTTCAGAAAATAAGTAGTTCGTTTAGATGTCAATGTATACGTTTTTACAATAAAATTCCTAGCGATATTCAAAATTTGAGCCTCAATTTAAATTGCCTTTATAAAATAAAAGACTACTTAGAGGATAGTCAGGCTTGGGAATGAGCCGCTGTAATGTCTGCACAGGTCATGTTGACATGTTTGTAACATAAGTTACACTTTTATATACAATTTGACATTACGTTTATTTTTTTATACAATGACATGATCACATATTGTGACATTTTTATTTTTTATTTATTTGTTGACATTTTTATTATTTTATATTATTGTTAGTGTAAGGACCGTGTGAGACTTGTCGTGCTTTTTGATCATCAGTCATCTGCGTTCTGACAGTTTGAGTACTTGCGCGACCCACCCAAATGTTCTTTGATCGGTATTGTTCGTCGGACAACTCAACAGCACTAGCTATACTGGTTGCAAACTGACACTTGCGTGCCTGTCTTCAGAACGGGTCCACTTAAACTGGTGTGGTTCTTTCCTCAAAAGACCACTACAGAATTTACTTGCACGGTTCTCTCACATTATGTTATTTTATATTGTCTGGACTTGAAAAGAGACTGACCTCTGAGTTTGTTTCGGCATTTCTTCTCAGAGTAGTCAAATAGGAAATGCCGGCTTCATCTAGTTTTTCACATATAATTTGACGTGTAAAAGTGCCGTTTTATGGCCTATTTGCAAAAATAAATTCATTGTTTCATTGTTTCATTGATACACTGCCGCTCTGGCCGCACAAGTGTGTGTAAAAAAGTTGCGTAGACTTGCAAACTTCAAAGTAAATGATCATAAATACTTACTTCTCTTGGTTTCTTTGGATGAACTTTAATCACGAAATGTTAATTTCCTGATGATACATTTGTTTTTAATTTAGTGTGCACTTTATCGGGATCGGACATTAAAACTTGCTCCTCTACTACTGTTTGCAATTATTTCGTTTGACGTTCAAAAACCTGTAATAGACTAACTGAGAACGCATAGCTGGTGTAAGTTTATTGAGTCCAAGCCTTCTATGTGACTAACATTACTAAAGAACCGACTGTCTCAAGAGCGGTAGCTATGTGGTGTTGTAATGATGTGAGAGCGATGGTCCAGGTTCTGGAAGAAGATCTTCGTGCGCGTGGCGCTGGTGGGGGACAATCCTGTGGTGCAGCTGTACAACAGCGCGGCGGACAAGGAGCCCTTCCAGGAGCTGCCCCTGCAGGCCTGCTACTCCGTCTCCGACATTGGCGCGCAGCAGTTTGATCAGTTCGGCAAGATCTTTACCGTGAAGCTGCAGTACGTCTTCTACAAGGAGAGGCCTGGCGTCAGGTACCTGCTGTGTTTGTTACTTTTATGTTTCGTACAAGTTCTGAGTCCTCGGTTGGTCGTGTCCGAGCTAACAGCTGTAATGTGTCGGCAGGCCGGGCCAAGTGACGAAGGCGGAGCGCATCACGAACAAACTGTCTCAGTTCGCGGCGTACGCCATCCAGGGGGACTACCAGGGCGTCAAGGAGTTCGGCAGCGACCTGCGCAAGCTGGGCCTGCCTGTAGAACACGCGCCGCAGGTTACATATACATCTACAACTTCTTCGTTTACGAAGCTCCTTATTTTATATCTGTAGAGTAAATTTCGAAATAAACCACAATTTGTTTCTCTGAAAATACAAAGAAACGACTTCACTAATCACGCTTCCTCCATTATGTCCCTTTGTTTAATTATTTTCAACAAGATTTTTTAAAACAATAAAATACACATAACACTCTAAAACCAGCTGAGAGACTTGAGACTTACACGGGTTGCACTGGCTGCTTTTTTCCACACCACGAGTGCAGTCATTACAGATGGTAAAGTAGCAAGTAGGAGAAATAGTGTTTAGTTGAGTGCTTTCTTTTATTGTACAAATCGGTTACAAATTTAAAGTTAAAATAAAGCATTTGTCCGATTTCCTATCGATGATATTTTTTTTCATTTCCAAAAAAACAGTCTACTTCTTAGTTTCTTTTTTTGCAATTTGTATAGTTGTGGTGGGCGCGAGTAACGTGTGTCGTGTTGTAGGTGTCGCAGCTGTTCAAGCTGGGGTCGCTGGTGTACGAGGACGTCAAGCAGTTCAGCTGCTGCGTGGAGGAGGCGCTGTTCCGCCTCGCCGCGCACCGCGACCGCGCCCTCACCTACAAGATGGAGGAGGTACCCAGCCCTCGCCCTCCGACACCGGCCCGACCTCTACCGCCGTACTGACCGCGTGTGCCCTGCAGGTGCAGATCACGGCGGTGGACGAGCTGTACGTGGAGCAGGACGCGGAGGGCTCGGTGCTCAAGCAGATCGCAAGGGTGCGCCTGTTCTTCCTCGGCTTCCTCAGCGGTGAGTAAAGCGCCGGCCGCGCCCGACTCGGCAGAGGGGCAGTCTGGGCAGACTGGGCAGACTAGGCAGCGCGCCTGTTGCAGGCATGCCGGACGTCGAGCTGGGGGTCAACGACCTGCGGCGCCAGGGCAAGGAGGTGGTGGGCCGCCACGACATCATCCCCGTCGTCACCGAGGAGTGGATCCGAGTCGAGGACGCAGAGTTCCACGCCTGCGTGCAACCTGAAGAGTTCGCCAATACGCAGATAATCAAGTTACTACATTCATCACTTCCTTACCTTTAAATATCTAGCTTCTCGTAACGTTGAGTTTTTAACTCGATCATTATCGATCTTATATCTTAATCGATTACACTAAACAGTGACTATCGAAAAACATAATCAAATAAGCTCATTCATTTACAAATAGATAATGTAGGAGATATGCATTATTTACTTGTACCTCGTCGGCGTCAGGTTCATTAATTCAGCTATGATGGCAGAAACAGTCGAATACATAGATGTCCAGACAGCCAGGTTAAATGTATGGCTCGTTTCTATTTACGTCGGGGTTTGAAAAACACAAATAACTTAAAAACCTAATTAAGAGACAACGTAAACACCCGCGTGTGGGCTATCCTCCCCACGGCACAGTCACCGCAAGAGAGACTGGCCACCACCCACAGATAGATTCGATGTCCAGCCGAACGGCAATGGTGTACCGCGACCCGGCTCTGATCAGAAGAGGGAACGATGTGGTTTTTAGTAAGTAAGGGTCTAGCAATCCCTCTTGTTTACCTAGAGCGGGGTAAGCCAAAAGATCATTTTCCACACTAAAAAAAACTGCCATCTGAGTTGATCACTTTAATTTGAAGATGATATCGTTAATGTGTCTGAAACAGGCAGGGCTCACAGTATGTACTATTATCGCCGTCATCGCTATCGCTATCGCTGTTACTTTCTGTAACATTTAATTTGAATAGTGTCTGTGATATTAATTGTCAATTAAAATATCTAGCTTACTCATTTTTCCTCTTCTTTGACAACATGGGATACACATTTAAACCCTTCTGCAGCCGTAATTTTTTGAATGCCTTCCTGTAACTGATTCACTAATAGTTTATCGATTTTTGTGTTCATCACTATACTGTTACGTGGTATCATTATTTCTCAAAATGATAGTGGTTAATGTCAAATCTGGAATTGAATTAAAATTCTGACTATAGTCAGAACGGTTTGCTGCTTCTTCTGTTCATGTCGGACTGCAGATGATCAATATGAACATAGACAAAACTAAGGTAATGTTGAATGAGCTTGCATGATGGGTACCTACATTATTTCTACCCTAACCGACGACAAATAAAATGAAGTATCCGTAAATATTGGAGCAGGTAAGTAAACCAGAGGATAGGCTGCTTGAGCAGGAAAGTGATGTGGTGTCCCCGGCAGGTTCAAGCCGCCGGACGCGTGCTACATCGAGCTGATGAGGTTCCGCGTGCGGCCGCCCAAGAACCGCGAGCTGCCGCTGCAGCTCAAGGCCGTCTGGTGCGTCACCGGGAACAAGGTCCGTCCTACACCACCTACACTACCCACCCTCGGGATGTCCAAAGTAACGGCCCGGCAAACGGTTCACGGTTTATAAATTTAACTTTTTGAAATTGTTTTATTAATGGGATATAATATAATATTGATGTAAAACGTAACGTGAGTGAGTCGTTATTTTCTACAAAATCAATCCGATCTAGAACAGAACAATACCTTGCAATGTATATTTACATTCATTTTCTCTATAGTTATTAATTATTTTTGTTTATTATTCGTAAATGAAATACTAAAACCGAAACTATCGAATAATCTGAAATGGTGACCGTATCCGGATGCGATATAATTATAATCCAGAGCTGTAATATGACATGCATAATGTGATGTGGTGGTACGCCGCGGCCGGGGCTGCAGGTGGAGCTGCGCGCGGACGTGTTGGTGCCGGGGTTCGCGTCGCGCAAGCTGGGCCAGGTGCCGTGCGAGGACGTGGCCGTGCGGTTCCCCATCCCCGACTGCTGGATCTACCTGTTCCGCGTCGAGAAACATTTCCGATACGGCTCCGTCAAGTCGGCGCACAGGTACCTACTGCTGTTTGCTGTCGTCTTAGGGTCCCCTACCCGAGCTGTATACCCCAGCCAGCTAAAAAATTAGGAAAGACAGTGTATTATAATAAAAAAATAACATATGTAGTTTATCTACTATACCACAAGCGTAACCCGAATTGAGACATTCGGATGAATAAACAAACTAAGTAGTGCAAGCAGTCTGACATAATATGATTAATATGTTACTAGCAAACTCTTTTGCGCCCTGCACCCGATATCAGTTCAGAGAAGTCCGGAAATGGTTCACGAGTATGTGATCCTGGGACAAATGATCCGGTTGGTCAGGTCCAGGTTCAAGAAGTGAGGACGTCAATCGTCGACTGGCCAGGGTTCGGGAACCATCCATATTCTGGCCTGCTGCTGTGTAACGTGTCACGGGTTCGGTGCCTGCACAAAACAACTCTTTGCTTAATTCAAAAAAACTTAGTTGTTCTGGGTCTTCGCATGTTATTTTCATTTATGTAAAGACACAAGAGGAAATCCATTAGTTTTAAACCGACAGTAGGACCCTTTTTCACGCTTCGGTGTATCACAATCGGTGCAATTAAATGATTATGTATAGTACCTACTGAGTTTCAAGATGTTTGATCGACAGGCGAACGGGCAAGATAAAGGGCATAGAACGGTTCCTGGGGGCCGTAGACACCTTGCAGGAGTCTCTCATCGAGGTCACCTCCGGCCAGGCCAAGTACGAGCACCAGCACCGCGCCATCGTCTGGCGCATGCCGCGACTGCCCAAGGAGGGCCAGGGTGAGTCCTGTCTCCGAGCCGAGGCCGTGCACTGTCGCCGGCAGAGAGTGAGAGAGTGACACTGTGCAGGGGCGTACACGACGCACAACCTGGTGTGCCGCATGGCGCTGACGTCGTACGACCAGGTGCCGGCCGAGCTGGCCAGCCACGCCTTCGTGGAGTTCACCATGCCCGCCACGCAGGTGTCGCACATGACGGTGCGCTCCGTGTCGCTGCAGGACCACGACGGCGACCCGCCCGAGAAGTACGTGCGCTACCTGGCGCGCCACGAGTACATGTAAGTACAGAGCCGGCCAGCCCGCCCCGGCCCCGGCGACACGAGTGACATGACGAGTCCTGTTGCAGAGTGGGCATCGAGCGCACGTCGGGGCAGGCGGCGCCGGCGTACGCGCTGGCGACGGCGGGCCGCCACGCCGACGCCGCGCCGCCGCCGCCGCCCGCCGCCGCGCCGCTGCCGCAGCCGCCCTCTTCCGACTCCGACTCCGACTAGGCGGCCTCGACTCTAACTCTATACCGCATACATACACTAAACCATGGCCGATTCCTCTCCGAGGAACCTTAAATTGCAAAATATATTTGTCAAAGTAAGATACGTTCCCGTTCTCTGAGATTATATAACCGACAAGCGGGCGCTGCGAGTACGACCGTGCCGCCGTGTAGCCAGACTTGATCTTAAATATTAAGCACGTATGTTATTTGTATAAGCAGCTAGTTACATGTACTTATATTTAACGATTTCATCTTACATTCCAAATAATCATTTTCTCGATGTATAGCCAGTATTATATCTAGCAGTGACTGCAGCCGAGCAGCCCCGCCCAGGAGGTCAGCCGCCAGCTCGGTATATCATGTTCCATATCTATTGTCTATTGTACATAATGTGATAATTGCGAAAGGTCGTAAATGACTGCGGACGAAACCCCACCGTCGCTGTGTAAGTAGGCAGGCGCAGTGGAGGCGCGCCGCCTGTACGTGTCAGCAATAATGTAGAGCGCGTTGTTCCCGAGTGTGTGACCAGCCTTCACATGTAGTCGTGGATGCTGCATCCATACATCCGCTCCGCGTCCCGCGCCATGTTGCGGTACGCGGAGGTGAGATGTGTCAGTGTACGCGTGTACTCACACAAGCACCGTGTAGTTAGCTGTTACGCTGTTAGATTGTATAAATATGACTATGACTACCCCTGATATTATACTTACGAGTAGGAACTGTTTAGAAGCATTGTAAAATACAAATGATATTATTTATGTATTTAACTATTTACTCCTAAATGCTAGTCGCGTTACACACAAATATATGATATATACTATGTTAAATGATATATACAACTTACTTAACGTGTTGTAGGCGCTGTTTGACATGTGTTGTAAGTATATTAGTACCTGTCGACCTACATCGCAGACCCTATGTTCTGTTGTGAATAAAGTTAAATAACAAGAATTACATGTGGACACTTTATTTAAAGCCATTTCCCTCCGCCCCTTCCCGTCCCGCTCACACAGCAAGACAGCAAGCATTGCATGTATGTGACGTCACACTGCAACGATACAGTGGGTACAAACACCTTGACACAAGGCGACAGCCTCAAACATGGCTAGATAAAGTCATTTATTACATTAAATAATATTTGCTTTAATTACATTAAAGGTAAGTATATCTAATTTTTATGGACTAGGCTGGGCAACGCTCAGTGGTACCGAGTCAATGTCAAAGTCAAAATCATTTATTTCAAATAGACCACAGTAGGCTCTTCTGAAAGTCAAGCAAAAGGTCTACGATATGTTATAAAGGGATTCCCCATAAAACTTATCAGCTTTTGCTCAAGGGTAATCTGAAATCACTAATTAGTTCAGTAAAGTTCCGGTAAAACGAAGAGTCGGTTTGATATCTCGGTCTATTCTAGAAAATAACTTCATTCATTGAACACATAAAGGTTATCAGTGAGAAAGCCAAAAATAACTTTATGCGCTGACGCGAATCTCGAAAGCTACATGGCGTCCTTTTTTTCCCAACGCTTAAGACCATCTACGGAGCTACCTACCTAGGATGTATGCGTAGCACCCACCTGGCACCTGTCTGGGCAGATAGGGTGACAATAGATGCGGTACGACGGAAACTTCTTCAGGGCCAACGCTTGGCTTTAATTTTTCTATGTAGGCTTACAGGACAGCTGGACCCGTGCTCCCGGGATTACTTCCCGTCGATCTTGAGGTGCAGCGACGTGCTGCTATGTATACAACGCGAGACAAAACATTTCTGCAAACTTCACAACGCGTAAACTCGTCTACTCCCCATTGTGCACATGTTCGACAGCGGAACTGCAATACGAGCAGTCTGCCCATCACATACTCTGGGAGAGTAGTATCTGGCAATACGAACGTAACATTATGTTGGATAATTTTAAATGTCTCATTAGTCATTAGGTGTAGTTTATTATACGGACCTTGTGGAATCCGTGCGTTTGGCGTTTTTTTGCCATACCTATTACTGGAAACGACTATAGCAGCTCACACATAGGTCCCATTACAATAACAACATTTTCTGGAAACTATTTCTATTTTTCTTCTCCTCAAATCTTCTTATTTATTTCGTTGCGGCATCTAAGCTAGTCCCTGGGACTTGCCGGACTTTGTGTTCCGGTGTTTTCATGGTTGTATCTGCCGTAGATCCTGGCTTAGAGGAGTTGCAGTGGTATTGGGAGGTTGCGGCAGCTTGTCCCATAAAAAAAGCAAAAGGTATCACCTGATGGTAGGCAATTAGCGCCGCCTCTGAATACAAAAGTAAGGAAACCGAAAAATTCGTCACGTACTCATCGGGAGCATCAAGATCTGCTGCTTTTCCTCACAAAGACGACCACTGGGTGTTTTCTCCAGCTGGATCCGAGTAATATTCATGAATGATATTGCGGCCAATAATTCAAGAATAGAATTCCGAAAATACGTTACGTTTTATGAATAAATGCCATGCAAAAATTATTACTGCTCGATTGATTAATTTCTTGAAAAAATTAGCAGGAGCGTTCTTTTAGGGGAAAATCATGATCTTCCGAGATGAATCATGATTTTCTCTATAGTGTAAGTTTTATACTGACTGAAAAACACCCCGTTCCTTCTGCTCTAGGCCAAGGCCGCGGTGCCTCAGTGCGCTTGCCCCAGCTAGAGATGTGAAGTGGCGTCACCGTTGCTGTTGTCAATTTATTTTAAAAATCATCAGCGTATAAGAATGGTGATCGATTTAATATAAATTTAAAAATATATGTCAGTTTACTTGTCTCTAAGTTGCCTTTTCTGAAGATATGACTTTAATAAATCTAGAGATACCTTCTGAACGCCGTAGTGTTCTAGCTTCAGCAATAGTTTCTCGTTCTCAATGCAGTCAAAAGCCTTCGAAAGATCATAAAATATTCCGATGGCAACCTGCGGGTTTTCCCACGGGCGAAAACTTGCTTAATTAACGATTCGCCGCGTTAGTAGTGCATCGTCCCTTAGTGACCTCGTATTGTTGGTCATGGAAAATGGAATTCTTGTTAAAGTGACGCAGCATTTGAGTAAGCATCAACCTTTTCAACACTTTACTGAGCACTAGCAAAATACAGACCGCCCTATAGTCATTAGGTTCTTTACTATCATCTGATTTCAACAATGGAACTACTTTACTGTTCCCTTAAAACCAGCAAAACTAGGCAAAATATCAGTAGTAAGGAAAATTCTGACCCTCCATTCAGGTGTAGTTTATAGAATGGACCTATTGGAATGTAGAACAAATTTCCGGGTGTTTAGGCGTTTTTGCCATAGGTCCCATTACCATACCTAATTAATTTTCCGCTGTGACTGGGCTTCTCTCTGTTGTACAGGCTCTTTTGTACCTTAAAGACTTAAGTCATTTTGTCTCCTGGGGTTTTTACTCTCGATTTTTTCCCTTAAAAAATATCGTACTTATTGAGCAGAATTCCGTATTCTCAGTCAAAATAGAAATGCCTAAATGTCAGGAAAAGGTCGAGTCGAGTGAAGGTAATGTTACTATTATGAAAACCGCTGTGCTATTTTGAAAACGCTGACTTTAATTTATTTTAAGACTAAAACGAAACGTAATTTAATGTAAAAAAAAACAGTTTTACAGTAAGTTGACAGTCTGTCGGTGTAAGAATATCGCAACTTTTTGCGATTCCTTCTAAATGTTTGTATTTTCATTACCTACTTACTCTGTTTTATATCACTTTTTTCTTTTAAATAAAGGGACATTTTGCCAGACCTATTACTGGAAACAAATATAGCAGCTCACATAAAGGTTCCCGTCTATAACAATACAAAATTTTCCGTGGTGTTTGGTGACTGGGCTTCTCCCTGTTGTACAGTCTCTTCTGTGCCTTTAAGGCCTAAGTCATTTTGTCTCCTGCATTCAATTTACCGAGGGAAGTGGAAACTATTTTGTTGTTTCTTCTGTTCACGTCTAGTTTTCCTGCATGTGCATTTAATTATCGCTACGCTTCGTAGCGATAATTAAAGCTAGCATTTGTTTTCGTTTTATAATTGCTAATTACTTGCTACCAGCTATGGATAAAGATGAAGAAATGAATGCAGGTGGCGTGCGCCAAGAGAACGTCGGCCTTGTCACTTCAGGAATGTCCTGTCAAGTATCGGAAGGGTGCTGGGCCCATAACCTTGGGGGCTCCCCTAGTTGTACCCAGCACTTAACCCGTGATTCTAAACCTCCAAAGGCCCCCTATGATACTCCTGGAACCTAACCACCAAGTTTGTTCGGGATTTTTCTTCTTGGTGATAGGTGCTAGAAAGATGCCCTAGGAGGGAATATTTTGGGACCTGCCTGCTGGAGGAGGCACGCATCCGTGGCTCCTCAAGAAAAGTTATTGTTAGGAGTAGGAAAGTAGGCCCTCTTCATCATGGCTCTTCAGACCCTGCTTCTTCGCCTTGTTAAAAGGCTTCACAATAGTCGAAGACTCCGAGCTAAGGTTGAACCTCAGCTTGAAAAATGTATTCTAGACCTGATTCCGGAATCCCCGGAATCACCTGCGTCGGAGAATTCAACGGAGGCCGTCCCTCTCGCCTCGGAGTAGATAGAGAATGAACTCCCTGCTAAAATACCGATTACTGCTGAGGTTCGAACGAGTGGAACCTGTCCTCCGGTCTCACCGACCCACCCGGAAACTTCAGTCTCCCCGGCTCCGCCCTAAACTTTGGCCTCTATGGCCGAAGTTCCGCCGCTCCGCAACCACACGAAAGGCCTCCCACCACCGCCATAAACACAACGAACCCCTCTCCAGCCGCGGGGGAGGCGCGTCGCCTGCGCCGCATACTCCGAAAGCTATTTCACTAAACTTAATCTAGTAATATACGAGTAAGTATATCAATCACTAAACTTGGTCCGTTTTATAACTATATCCCTAGTGAGATAGTAATGAATCGCTTTCGTATAACTATGTTCCGGTATATAATTATATCCCTAGGGATATAACTATATTACGGCTACATA